TTGTGTGCTTTTCACAATAAATGAAGTAAAATGGGAAAAACAACAGATCTCTCACCATTTGAAAAAGGGCTTATTGTTGGTGCTCGTATAGCAGGGGCTTTCGATTTTGAAGACAGCAGACCTCACTGGGTTCTGAAAAGCAGCCATATCAAAGGTTTTCAAAAGTTGAATCAGAACCCACAGTTCTTCTCTAGAAGACAACTGAAGTTCGAGCACAGTTTTCTCATAGAATGATCAGTGTCATTTTTGACGAATTGTATGGTAGAACAGGGACTGTACTGTGCTTCAGCTGGCACAGATCGTCAACCAAGGCTCCTCCCAACAGATTTCAGCTCGAACCATGCACAGAAAATTGCAGAGGATAGGAATTCATAGTTGGATGTCTGTGAAAGAAACTACTCATTTCTGCTCAACATGCAAGAATTCATGTCGGGAAAGAAGAAACAGGACATTTGAGGATTGGAAATGGGTAATGAGGTTCGATAAATAATGCTACACCTTATTTTGCACAGCACAGATGGAAGATGTTGAATTTGGCCAGAACGCCATGAAGACATGAATCCATCTTGCCATACTTGTACTGTGCAAGGAAGTATCATGATAAGGAGGTTTGGCATTTGTTTAGGTTGCTAGCTGAGATGTTAACTAAGGTAGGAAAAAGGAAAGGGATATTTTCTTTCTATATGTAGATACTTTGCATCATTTGTCTTGACTTAGCAGATAAATTTTCATGCTGATGATTACATGACTTTGTTAATAGATTATTTGAATTCGCTGTTTAATTATTTTCTAAATAAATTAATTACACCTGTAATTAGAATAAGATAATTTTATTTTTAGAAAAGAAAATTACAAAATATGCTCCTTTTCCGTACTTATGGCTCACATTATCCCATGTGTATTTGCGTATAATTAATTTCAATATAAATTAATTAAAAAAAATTATTTAAAATTTTTAATTACACTTCCAGTCAGAGTAAAATGATTTTATTTTTATAGAATAAAATATGTTTTTTTTTTTCTAACTTATCGCTTGTATTTCCAGATAATTTCTAATTATAATGAAAAATTTGTGAAATATCTACTTAATATTTAAATACAGTCAAAAGTCTTTAATCCGGAATGATCTATAATCCGGACCTCAAAGCTACAAACTTTCTGCACATGCGCATATGCATTTACGCAGGCGCATAATACCTTTATGCATGCACATATGTGTTTACGCATGCACGTTTAATGTATAACAGATGGTATAAGCTAAGCTAAAATTATCTAATTATCTATTTCAGTTAATGTTATAGGATTAGGATTATTTAGAATATAAAAAACACTCCCAGGCTATTTGTTTGTGGAGAGGGAAGCACGTTAGCTGGGTCTTGACTCCAAGACGAACTACCAGTGTGTAACAGTTTTACCCTTAGGCTGCTGAAAGACACCTTGTATCATAAAAGAGGATTTTTACCCTTCATAATCAAATTAATATTCAAATATAATTACTAAAAATGCAATAAAATGATAATCAGACTGAAATGCTAATAAGTTATTATAAAATATTAAAAAAAATTATTATGCTATTTTTCTATGCCAAGCATATTTCACTGATTTCTTTATATAGAGAAGGGATTCTCAACCAGTGGTATGCAAAGCAAAGTGTTTTTAACTATTAATTTCAAAAATTAAAACCCCAACATCCTGATTGAGTTTTTACTCTAACACTCGCAAATTTATGTGATCTGAGCTTTGTTTAAGAGTGGTAGTGGTAGTAGTACTTTGTAGTGGTGATACTAAAGGTTTTCAATTTTTGTTTAGGTTGTATGCGTTAGTCAGAAGGTTGAGAACTTGCTGCACTAGAATCTAGAGTTCTCAACTGGTGGTATGCAAGAGAAAAATAAGGGATATGCAAAGAAGCAAAGTATTTTTAACAATTAAATTCAAAAATTAAAACCCCAACATCCTGTTTGAGTTTTTTCTCTAACACTCATAAATTTATGCAATCTGAGCTGTGTCCAAGTGTGGTGCTGGTAGTAGTACTTTGTATGGTGGGACTAAAGGTTTTCAGTTTTTGTTCAGATGGTACGCATTAGTTAAAAGGTTGAGAACCGCTGATATAGAGGATTTTGCGGATTAAAAATTGGGTATATCAGTAAAATATCTAAACCATTATTCTAAACGTGAGCAAAAGTAAGTTTATTTTTCACAAAAAAATAAATAAGTAAATAAAGAAATAAAGAAATAAAGAAATAAAAATAAATAAATGTTATTAAATTTGTATCTTCAAATCTTTGAATAAGATTTATATTTATAGATTTTTCTGATGTGTTACTCATGTTCATGTTTAATAGTAATGAATATAATGTAAATTCAAACTTCAAATAAGTAAAACATAGAAATCTTTGTATCAGTGTATTTGCAACAAATGCATAACTAAAATACATTTGCCCACTGCATAGAATTGCTCCAGGGGCGGCAGTTTGAAACCAGCATCATAGACAACATTCAAATTGCACAAAAATAATATTTTATGATTTAACTTTTCATGGAATAAATACAGACAAATACAATTAACCTTATTTTATTCTATTCGATTGGTCTGTTTCCGAAATTTAAACAATTGCATAATATCATGAAAAGCTATAGAAGCTCTTGTTACAAATCCTCTTTCCCTGCAGTTATGCAATTACATTTCTTTGTTTAACTACATGAAAACTATTTTTGCACTTAAGCAATTAAAAAAATAATAACTCTCTTAACCTTATTAAGTGAAATTATATGCATAAAAGAATCCGGAATGTCCAATATAAACCAGACTGAATGATGATTGAATAGCCAGGAATACAATATCGTTGTAGAAATATATGCATATTTTATTTTTTAAAACTTTTATCTTTAACTGTGTCATACGTATATATTGCATTTTTGTGATCACTACTGCATTTATATAAAGAACATTTTTTCAAGCTTATGTAACCATTATTACAGATAATTGTTCAAATTAATGGTAAGAATTAAAAAGAGAAGTATAAAAGTTAATAATGCTGGAGTTATCTATATCATAATCTAAAATATAAAGATGAAAAAAAGTACACAGATTTATTTAATCACAACAATGACTAATAATTTTTTTTTTTTTTTTGTATGGTTTCCCTTCTCAATGTAAATGCTACACTTTGCCGTATGCAATTTTAAGCCAGCAGAGCTTTTCCCCTGATACTGGGTTGAAGAAGGAAGTTTTGCAAAGCGCCATTTGATGCCATTTCCCTCTTTGACGTCAAAAAATTCCTCCCAAGGATATGGCAATTATTCGCAATTCAAGATGGTGGAAAAAATTGCACCAAGTACTGCTTATCTGAGATTTTCCCTTTCACTATATATGTTTATTTGAACTTAGCAGAATAAATTTTGAAATAAAGAAATAACAATGTGGTATGTGAGTAAGCTCTGGCAAACATGTATTGAGTGCATTCCTCTTAAATACCTCTTATAACCTGCAAAATGAAGATTGTGTTGGAATTAAGAAGGTGACACATTCAGTAGGATGGGCATGGAATTAAGAAGGTGACACATTCAGTAGGATGGGCAGTATATCACTTAAGTAAATGAAATGTGTTGGAATTTCAATCCTATTTATGTCATATGTAACTTTTCTTTTGTACCTTAATGCCAAATTAGTACTTTAATGCATCTTATAATAGGTGAGAGTGCATTATATGATAAAAGAGTGCTATGAGAAAGAATGTATGTGTGACAGTGATGCACTCAGTTGATCAAAGGCATTCTACTTTTCCTTCCTTCCTACCTTCAGTGCAAAATCACAGATGAATTTTTCCCTGTTTACCTGTAGTCTTTCTAATATATGCAGCAGTAAAAAGTGATTGTTCATTGTTTAGCTTAATTATGTTCAATTTATTATTATCTTTCAGGTAAAAGAAAGGCTAGTTTTCTGTTTCTAAGTTTGCATTCAAAGTAGTGTACATGTGTGTGATGTGTATATTAATGTTTAACAGTGTTTAGCAATGCTTTTTCCTGAAAGTTGAATGTAGTGAAATTTTTTTTATTAAGTTCATGAACTCATTAATTTTGTTAATTTTAATCTTCATTGTTGTGCAAAGTTTGTGTTATATTGTAAAATAAAACAATACAGTAATTGATCATCTGTACTTAAGATTATTTTTTATTATTTAATTTTGTTTAATCTTACTGGGAAGCTTCAAAATGTATACTTTAATGCTGGATTTATTTTCAACTTTTAAATTCTCATTCCCATGAGAGTCATACTGTAACAAGTTTGACACATTTGCTTATTCAATTCATCAGCGAATCGAGGCTTTACTAGTTTATCCATAATTATAGCAAGTCTATTAACCTGACATTAGTTTATTGGGTATGAAAAATACTCTGTTGATCATTCAAAAATTTTACTTTCTACTGAAGCAAAAATTTTCAGTTTTATTAAATTTTCATTTTAGAGCAGCAGTTATGTCACTGCTGTTAAGTATTTAACAGTAAATGAATTATTTAATATATTATAAAATTTTAAAAAATTAACATTTTAAAAATTAGATTCCTGGTGCCTTTCTGGCTTCTCAGGCAGTTGTTGAGCCATCCCCACCCAAAGTCATCAATTTCTTATAATACTGTATGGCTTAGCGACTAATGGTCAAATGATAAGTCCTTTAATTGCTGATGGATATTAAATTGTTCATACTGCAGCATATATGTATCGTAACACAAATAGATCGTGTAACTGTAAACTGAGATTAAACATAATATATATCCTGATGTATATGCAAGTATTATTCTTCCTTCAGTGTTTCTCATTGTATCTGATTTTCAGTGTTAAGATTTATTTTCATTTTTAACTGTTTACAAATGGTTACAATTGCAGTACTTCGTAATTAAAAAGGGAAGTTGAAGTATTAGTGACTTTAGTCAAATATTTTTTTATTATTTTTTATATTTTCAAACTGCTATTAAATTTCTATATTATATTTTATAATTAGCTGTGTGCTGCTATTAGCAATAAACTTCAGAATAGTAACTTTGAAGATTCGACTGTACTACACGATTTGAAGCAGAAAGTTATTGATCTCGCTGTCTCACCTGGAGTGGTTTACTCTATTCAAGCCGCTGCACAGAATGTGCTGCGTGTTGGGTGGATGATTCTTCTACCTACTGCAGATGAAAGAGCCAAAGCACTTTCTCTTCTTTTGTCTGGTAATTTTATGTATTATGTCATATCATGTACAAAAATTTATCTTGATGATTGGCACTTGATTTCTTGGATAATTTTATTCAATGCTTTTTGCTGCACTTTTAAAAATCTTTGCTTTTGAGAGAAATTTTGATTATACCAATATGTTAAACACTTGCAAATAGAATAGTTGGTGGGACTTCTAAAATTTATTGACTAAAACATGATTTGCATGTATTTTGAGAGCGATATTTACCTTTTCAGATACCTGTGAATAATTTTTTTCACGTTTCATAGCATTTTAGGCTCATCTTAAAATGCTCGATACTCTCTGATTATCTGCAAAACCCTGACAATATTCAGCAGGTAAAGCATTATGTTGCCAAATTAAACAACCCAGAATTTTATGAAAATTTATCTTTCTGGAAACTCATTAATTGTTGTGTGCGTGTGCATATTATGCCAGTGCATAAGGCATGCAATTTTGAAATATGTGATTTATTTGTGTGGTTTCTACATGTTAGTGTGTTTAGTTTTCTTTCCCTTGTAACAAAGTTATATAAATAGATTCTTTAAAAAGCAGGTTAAATGCACCTGTGGCACAAGCGCAATTCATGCAAATGTATCTCATTACATAACGAGCTGCCCGCAATTAAATAGGATAAGGAAAGAGATCTTCCCTAGCTCTCTCTTATCACTGGAGCTAGACCATCTGGTCAAATACCCAGCAGGCATAAAAGGAATCCACATGTTAATTAAACATATTGTATAGAACAACACAAATTATGTAAAGGAGATCATGAGAACATGAGACCCTCACAAATTGTTAAGGCTTCGACTCATGTAAATGTCAGATCATGACATCGTTAGCACTGTACATATGTAAATATCTTCATTTCTGTGTATTTTCAATTTTTGTATTATTAATAAAATAAATAAAGATAAAAAGTAAAATTAAGAGGATCTTGATTGTGATCCTCAAATAAAACTATATGTTGGTGAGACAATACTCCCGGCAAATCTTCCAGTCACTGATATGCACTATGGTGGTGAGCTTTGGAGACTTCGCCGAAAGTCCCTCCAGGATACGATGTTCAGCCTAAGGGCATACTACTATAACTAAGCGGCACACACAAAGATCAGTACCAAAATGGGCCATTCTAACTACGCACAAACGAGTTGCAGCCCCCTCCCACCTGATACGGAGGGGTAAGACCAAGTGTTCAATTGGATTCAAAACCACTTACGAGCCAATAATGACCAGTCCACTCAACCTTTTCCTCCCGCCACATACGGAGGAAAGTCTCCCCCCAACTGAGGAGGAGCAAACAGGTTTCCCACAGTTGCGTTAAGTCGCAGGAGTGGTGAATAAAATTGATTGATTCCCTTGTAACAAATTATAATGCCACTGTAGAGTTTGCAAGGTAATGAAAAAGAAAGTGTTGCATTTCTTCAGAAATGTGGTGTAGTATTAAAAATATGGTGTTTGTCTAATGTAGTAGAGAATGTAGGAATGTGCACTCCACAAAGTTTATGGAATTCTCTGATGCTTTTCTGAGCAGGTCAATCTGTACATGAGGAGCAGTGCCATGTTGCTCTGCAGTTTTGAGAATTCTAAACTTTTCTGATGTTTTTTGGAGTTAAAACAGATAACTGTGTTCTAGCAGAAGATTCGGTAAAAAGAAAGTTAAGGAATTTATTATGGATGTTTATTGCACTTTTAATTTATCTATGATGGTATTTTATGTAATTTGCAGTATTTTGTTATGGGTATTTATATAATGGAATTCTCAATGTTTTGTTATGGATATTTCTAGCATTTTCAATTTAATTAATTTTTTTTTTTTTTTCTGTTTTATGCAATTTTGGTGTGCTATCATTTTCTAAAATGGCTACTGTTTCTCATGTTATGTTGGTGAGAAAGTGGCCAAATGATTGGCAACTTTGTGGGAGGTTTGGGTGAAAAATTAGCAAGTACCAACTGCTCTTAAACATTAATAACTGAGAATGATAATTTCCAAGTTAAGTATAAAAACCGTAATTTACCAATCCTGTTCTTTTATGAATCTGAGTGTTACAGTCAAAGAACTAAAGAACACACTTTTGAAAGTTTGTACACATCTAAGACTGATTCTTTGCATGTGGGGAGGAATTGTTCGAGTGTAATTTCATACACTACAAAGTCTGAGATCTAGACTTATCAGGACTTCAGCAAATCTGGATTTGGGAATTTTCTGGATTTTAGATCATCAGTTTAGCTGCAGTAACATGACATGTAGAAATTATGTAATTAAAAATATAAAATAGCTGTTTATGAAATAATGAAGTATTTATGTCCCAAAAAGGCTCAATATTTATTTGTTAGCTTTGTTAAACATTTCTTTGAATGTTGCTTCATTTTTTGTGCTAATACTTTCTGTTTAATTTCATAGAGAGACATAATTTCTTTTTTAATTATGAAGTTCCATTGTTCAAGTACTGTAATTGGAATATCGATAATTTCCACTGAATTGTCAATAAAGTTCATAAGGTGTCGCAAAGGACTCTAGAAATGTAAGCAAACATACAGTTTGTACTATTGGCTGCATGAAAGCTACTACAGTGAATTTAGTAGGAACAATGAAAAAGTGAAGAACCTCTGTTATTAAATGTTAAGTGTTATTCAGAGGATCAGCAGTTCTGAGCCAGTACATGCTTCGAAGATGTGCAGAATAATATTACAATAGAACTAATTTGTTCCAAGAAAAAAAAGTTCAAATGTAACATTTAGTAGGGCTTTGTAGATACTTAAGAGAAAAAGTCTTGTCTGTACCTTATGCAACTTTACCTGTCCGTACTGATCTGGGGAACTCGACAGTCTTCTGGAATGAAAAAGTCCAAGCAAATGCAATCTAATTGCTTTGTGGATTAAAAATCAGATGAAATTAATATCCTAGATTGTAACCTACTTCTGTATTTTTATTTGTTCAGCATTAGTAGGCCATCTTTGTCATAATGTAAAGAACATTAGAATGTTATATCATTTCATGTAAAGATACTCAGATTAATAAAGCCTAGCAATTTCTTAAAGGGAAGCATGTGTTAACAGAAAATCCAGACTGTTGTAGCAAAATACCTGCATCTGAGTGCTGCCTATCCAATTATATTCCAGGTGATAATTTCTTTTGTAGCTTTTGTTGCCAATAAATTATCTTAATCTGATTTGAACAGAAACATTCCAATGTAAGATTAAAAACCGGGAGATGGGATTTCAGATTCATATAGATTTATTCAGAATTTCACCAATCTAAGATTGCTTTTTCGCCTAGTTAAAAATTTTAGCTCAATTTTTTTTTTTTTTTTTCCTTTTCTTTTTCTTTTTCTTTTTTTTTTTCCTGCATTCATATCACTTTCATGTTTGTGTCACATTTTCATTTTCTGAGAAATTTTTATGTCATATGATTTGGGAAAGTAAATAGCAAAGAATAGTTTAACATTCACATGGCCAAAGAATGTCTGGTATTTTACCGTTCAGTCTGTTTTAATGTTTTGAATTATAGTTTTCTGTGGTGCTTTATGGATCTTTCTGGTGAATTGTATATAGTGGTCTTCAAATTTATGATTAAATCTTTTATTTTTTAAATTGTGAGTACTGCTCATCATTTAGAGATGTATGAAAATTTTGTTGTTATGCATGTATCTGCCTTTACTGTATCATTTAACAGTCCTTTCTAAATTATGCATAACAAAAAGCTGTAGTTATCAGTTAATTTGACCACATAAATATGGGTAACTTTTGTCTTGTAATATGCATCTTCTACATGATCCATGGGTTAAGGATTCATTTTGTTGGTTGGTTTAGCATTTCTTAATATTATTAAAATTTCTTTTTATTGCATTTGTAATAGATTTCGCTTAGAACTTTTGAACCTTGCTCTTAATCTGTTTTAAAATTCCTTCAGTAATCTTAGTTTTATGAGCTACTGGCATTTCATTTTCTCTCATCATTTTTCTGAATTCTAATTATTTTTTCTAATTTTCTCAGCAAACATGCTGGGTGCACAAGGTTTTCATAGTTTTCTCAATGCATAATATAAATGAGCCAATATCTTTTAGAAATCTTCCACAAGGGCTTTCCTATCTTTAGATTAGGCAAGCAGATGTCATGTGCTTTACCTTAATTAATTAACCAACTAAGTAATTACATTCATTTACTGTAGTTAGTAAATCAAAAGTAATAAACAAGATTATGTTTGTCAATTTTCTCATTTAAATTACGTGATTAAAGGACCATTTTTCTCTATTTAGACTATCATGTGATTTGTGATGATAATGCAGTTCATTTTGAGAGTATTTTAATTCTTATATTAAACTTAAGCATTATTTTATTGACAAGGGGAGCATATGACATTAGATTCTCTGATTGTGCTATGCTTGAGCAAATTTACAGGAGAATTTGAAAGGAATGCATTTGCATCTCTTTCAAGTCCAAATATCAAGTTCAAGTCCAAATATCTAACGATGTATGCATCGTATAAGGTTGTTAAATTTTTGAAAGTTTTGATGACTCAATGGTAATTTATGATCATTGCAGATGGGAAGTTCACCTTTTCATTCCTTTATAAACTTTTTTTCTTTTTTGTGCTTCTTTCTTGTTTTCTTCTTTTTTCTTTTAACTATGCAGAGAAGATACATTCTTAAATTCTTTTTCTGGGAGTAAAAAAGATGTATGTTTTAATCATTTTTTGAAGTAAAGTTTAATCATTTTTTGAAATTTATATTACTTCTCATGCAAATTAATTTAAAATTATGTCCTGGTAATATAGAGGTTAGTAGAAGCTGACTGATTGAATCTTTGTAGGACTGAGGCTCAAATCTCAGAAAACTATCGATATTTGTGACATTCAGTATCTTTGCTGTATGAAGGCACTTAAAATCTGTGGAATTAGAAGTTTACTCAAAAGGCTGATGATTGGAAAACAAGGATATAAGAGCCTCAGATATCATCCATCAGAGAGCTCTTGATCAGAAGTGGCGTAGAACTTAGGCATGTAGCCGTAATACGCTTCTCTTTCATCAAATAATGCTACCTTATTTACAAATACTAGGGAAGAGATGAAGCTTCCCCTCCCCCCATTGTACTTTAAAAAATATTGTATTTATTAAAGATCTGAATTTAATACCTTAAGAGGTTTTCTCTATTTTTCTGCAGTTTTACGATTACTGACATTTTGTAATGCTTCATTTACCCGTGTATGCTTTATGATTCGTATTTGCTTGCTGTCGGCATTACGTTGTAATATGCAATGAGGATTAACTCTATTTTTTCGAGATTTGCAAGAACTAACCGTTCTCTTTTTTCCTAATAAACTTAAAATAAAATAACTTTACATATAAAATTCCAAAGCATCATATTTATTTTCAAAATCCATAGAACTACAACAACTGCAACAAACATCTGATGGTTGCCACTCTTACAGTGATTAACTATGAAAAGAAAGATAACAACTGAGGCTGGTTTCTAACAATACTCCCACCTTTTTATTGATAACATATACTTAATTAATCAAAACAAAATATAAAAAAAATACTGTCCACACAAATATTAAGGCTAAACAAAATAAAAAATTAAGTTCTATAATTTCTACTCTAAAATAACTCAAGTAGTGTTCAGGTTAGAAATCTAGATGGAATTTTAATTTGTTGTCCACTTCTAGTCACGACAGTCTTAATGTCCATTGATAAATCTGCAGCGGAGTTATTCTTTGGTAATTTTGAGAGTAAACTGTCTTCACCCTGTGTCACAGTTTCATTTGCCTCATCTGACTCCAAAGATGAAGGTATTTCAAGAGGGAATATTCTCTGGATTGGTCGAACTAATTCTCCAGGCATGGTTTGGACACGAACTACTCAAATGTTGCCGTCTTTTCTGGGGTATAGTTCAATGACTTTTGCTAGAGGTCACAACACCTTGCGTTTGTCATCACATTCGATAAGAACTATGTCGCCGACTTTTATCTATTGAGAAATCGGCACTGTAGATGGATGTTGCACTAGCAGGCTGAGATATTCATTTCTAAAATCTCTTTCTCAAGAGCTCTCATAAATTCTGTAAATGTCTCAGTCTTTTGTTGAAATCAACTTTATCAAGATGATCCAAATTAGGAACTCCAAAGACTGGAATTTCACCTAAAAACAAGAGCGGTGTCAAAGGGATGAGGTCATCAGAGTTATCTGACACATAAGTGAGTGGTCTGGCATTCACAGTTGCTTCGCAGTCGCATAGCACACGCATCAATTCTTCATAATTCAGACATGACTGGCCTAGGTTTCATGACTCGCAAAAGCTTCTTAATTGTTTGAACAAGTCATTACTCAAAGCCATCCCACCATGGTGCTGCGGGTGAACTGAAGAGATCAGTCAAGTCGATATTAGGGATGTCACAAAAACAAAGAATCTTCATATTTATCCCACAGAAGACCAATTACTTTCAATGGTTCACTCATTGTAGATTTTTCACTGCTCAGTTCTGTTTATTCCCACCCTCTTAAGTCAAAGTTAGCACTTGTCATTAACTGAGTTGATTTTGCAATAAAGTATTCTGCTTCTTCATTCGAATTCACTGAAGTGACACAGTTGTCAACATAGAAGGAATTTTTCAATTTTGTAGCCACTTCCTTCAAAGAAGTTTCACATTGTTCTAAATGAGAGGTCATTGCTGCTCCTAAAAGAAATGAACTGGACTACTCTGCAATGGCAAAATTTTCTTATTTTATTTTGTTGAGTTTTTTTCCACCATAGCAATCTTAGGAAATCATGATCAGATATTTGAAGAAAAGCTCTTTTAATATCTGAGACTATTTTTCCTTGCCTAAATTCAAGTAGCAATCTAGGTATTAATTCAATTAAATTTTGACCTTTTGCTAAACAGTCATTAAGTGACAGGAAATCCTTTTGCTTGCATGAATCGTCAAATACAGGTCTTACTACAGTTATCTTTGAAGACCGGTCTTTGGGGAAGATAATGATTGTTAGCTCGTTCCTCTTCTGTTACTTCTTCTATTACTCCAGATTTGACCCATTCTTCGAACACTGCATTGTATTTTTCAAATTTATCTTTCAACATGAGCTTCTTTGTCATGGAAATAAATTTTTCAGCAACTTCTCTGTTACTTGGTAAAGCTTCTTTATCGTTGATCCAAGGTAAACTGACTTCATATTGATCATCCACCCTCTTCAGAGTCTTGTGAAAGTGATCCCACACTGCTTCTTCTAACTCTGAATCAGTTTTATTTGCTTTAGAATCTGTAATTTCCAGTGCTTCTAGCTTCCACAAGTTTTCTGTGTCACTGCTGCGAGTCAACATAGACGTTATTTGTGATGACATGGACAAGGAGTTTCTTTTTGAGATGTTATCTTGTATCTTTCCCATGATTGTCCATCCAAGTAGTGAATCCACAGCAGTCAGCCCATTTTCTAGTTTCTGAATTTTTCCGTTTAACAGAGCACCTGCGATGTCAGCAATAAGAATTTCTATTTTCAAATCCTTTTTTCCTACATTAGATGCATGAATATTTTTCTGCCTTAGTTCTTCTATCCATGGTTCAGGCTGTAAACTGACTACTGGTCCGCAAATCTTCGACTGTTCCAACAAGATTAGTTGTCTAGAAAAATCACTTCTCAGGCTTCTAATGTTCACTTCATAGCATTTGTGAATTTCTCTCTTTGTTGTCACTCCTCCAAAAATGTGCATGAATTAAAAATCCAGATGCAATTGCATGGCACCCTATGTCTACAGCAGCCTCTTTAATATGTATGAACGTTGTGATCCTGTGTCGATAAGTGCCTTTACTGTCTTCTGCCTTTTGTTTGTGTCGATGTTAATTAATAGTGTTTGAAGAAACACTTCATCTAGGAAATAGGTGCTCGCAAGTGATATGTTTTATGTTTCCTCTTCTTTATGGTTTTCAGCATCATTGCTCTTTTTATTGGTAGGCAAATCCCAATGTCACATGACACCCCAATGTCTTTTCGAGCATATCAAACATCATACATTTGTCTTACATTGCTTGGCCCTGTGTCTAATTTTGAGGCAGAAGAAGCAACCCTTCTTTTTCTTAATTTCATCCTTCTTTTGACTCAGAGTCATCTTCTGAGCAACGAAGGAATGCCGACTTTCATGGTTTTTTTTCACAAAATGTGCAAGAATTCTTCTCAGTAAAATTGGTTGCTTTATTATGGCCTGAGAATAAATCATTTGCTGTAGGCATGAAATGTTCACTCTGGTACATTTTATCTCTTCTACTTTCTTTCTTTGCACCCGAATCAAATAATTAAATCCAGCTTTTGCCAAAGAAATTCTCTGCTCTCCTTCCACTTCATTCTTTAAAAACAATAATTGTTTCAATTTCTCAGAGTGAGAATTTTCTGCTGTAATTATTGATGCATAATTTCTAAGCCAAACTCATAGAATTTCCTCAGGAATGCAAGATTCAATGAGCAAAAACAACATTGCAGCGTATTTGTCACTTGTTATTCCTATTAACTCCAACGAATGTAAATATGACTCTAACTTGTCATACAATTCTGATCTACTGCATTTTCCCTTTTGATCAATGAAATTTTTAATGAATCAGACCTAATAATTCCCGAATACCGAATATAGAATTCTACCAACAATTCTTCCCTGTCAAACCTATTTTTTAAGCTTTCTATAACTTTTTCATAATTTTCGGCAGTTGCAGGGAAGCTGTTTACAATATCACGTGGTCTCATACCGGGTACAGTCGTTTGAACGAGATAATGCATCTTATCCTCGTTTTTAATTTCTTTATCTTCATGTATTCACCGAAATTGTCCCCAAAACAGTAATCAATCTTTAATTTTTCCACCGAGTTGTTTTAACTCTATTTTAGGTAATTTCAGCTTCCGTTTGCTCGAATTCGGCAGTACACTGCTAGTAGATAGTATCATTTGACAATTGATGAATATTTCCGTTTCTACTCGTATTATATCTAATTTTTCTTTGTATTCTTCAACTTTCACCCATTTACTTTCAAACTGATCATTTGAAGAAAATTCCGAATTTAATATTTGAGTATCAAATGCATTAAGTTCAACAGATAAACATTCTAAAGTAACAAGTTTCGTTTTCACAGATTTTTCATCAGGAATTTCCTTTTCTAATTCCTGCAACATTGCATTAATTTTTCTCGTAAAAGATGCTCTGACAGGTTTTCATTTCTCAATTAAAGATTCCATTTCAATAAAAATAAATTTAATAAAGTCAAATAGAATTAAATTCAATAAAACCAATAAGATTACCTTGACTTGTTTTACAGATCACTTCCGTCATCACCAAAATTGTTCGAGATTTGCAAGAACTAACCATTCTCCTTTCTCCTAATAAACTTAAAATAAAATAACCTTACATAGAAAATTCCAAAGCGTCATATTTATTTTCAAAATCTGTAGAGTTACAACAAACATCCAATGATTGCCACTCTTATAATGACAAACTATGATAAGAAAGATAACAACTGAGGCTGGGTTCTAACACTATTATCAGAAATTTCGAATTGCTGGTTAATCATAATGGGCTACTAATGTACTCTGTGCTGAATTTCAGTGGATTTTAAGAATTTTTTCTGTTTAGTATCAGTTTTCAATGTTAAAAATTTTTTGAGAATTAAAAAAAAAAAAAAAAGAAAAAAAAAAAAAAAAAAAAAGGGATAATTTAAATTTTTTTTATGAATGTTTTCTAACTTGAAAATTCTTATGAAATGTTTTAGGTCCACAAAATTCACGAATCAGTTCTGGCTGTCATTTTATGACTGATCTTTTAGTGGAAAGTTTAATGGCTGATGGGGGATTAGAGTCTGCTCTTTCAACTGCTGTCAAATTTGAACTGGAGGAAATAGAATATGCTGTGTCGGTAAGTGGATTTAAGGATCATTCAATTAGTCATGTGATTATGTATTGTATTTTCTGTGTGTGAAAGAAAGAGTGATACTAAAACAAACTTTGATTTAAAATTAATTTATGTTTCTGATTAAATACTAATGTTATTCAAAATTAATTTCTTTCTCTAAATTGATGTTATATTTTATAGCAATTCTTTATAATTAAAATTAGTATGAAAACTTTTCTTTCTGTGTTTTGACCTTTGAGTTTGAAAATTACATCTTTAAACACACTGGATGTTATTAGGAGAATATTTTTTGTTGATACCTGTTTAAAACATGAAAGCAAAATAATTGTGTCACAAAATATTCCCAGAAATTAGTTTGCAAGTACAAATTTATATTATTGTTCATATGAGAAATCAACTGTAGAGTTGTTATTTGAGCTTTCATATCAGCTTAATCATTGCCGTAAAAGATAACATTGTCATTGCTAAGATATGTTCTATGGGTTAATTAGAGTATGCTTTCTATGTACATATTTTCAAAGAGTATCCAGAAAACTGCATGGTCATCACAAGCTTCTCCTTGCACTGTAAAGTCATACAGAATGAGTTTAGACAGCTCAAAAGAGAGTATTTTTTTATATATTTTTATTATTTGACTAGAAACGGCAACTGCGTCAAAAGGTAGTGAAATATGTGTTAATTAACTCTGTAAAATGTATAGAACCAGACTGAAGTTATTATTTCATCCTAGAAATTTTTGTTTTTGGATATGCACGCTCTGCTGTTCCATAAGTATATGTGCATTTTATGATTTTAAGGTTATATGCTTGCTTCGTTTTAATTGAAGAGGTATTATATATTGCTGGTTGTTTTGTTTATCAATCACGTAATGTAATAATCATGATGCAGCTTTTTTGAAAGCAATTTCGAAAATAATCTAAATAATTACTTGGACAAAGTGCAGCCTAATAACTATTAAGCGAAGTGCTTTGTAGTTGTATGTATGTTGGAAGTAGAAGTGATATTAGACCAAATTTCCATATGAAGAAGTGATATCTTGAATATAATTGGTTGTGTCAAAGCAAAATTAATGTAAGAAATATTAATTTATGTTCTATTTTCTGTAGAAGCTGGTCCTACTTATATTAAGAAAATGCTAGCAATAAGTTAGGTGGAAGTATCTCCTGTGGTATTTAGCCCTTTGGTGGCTGGACATTTACTATAGTCTGTTACTTTAATAAAATTAAAGAAAATGCATGAGCACAAAAAACAAAGCTAACTTACATTGAAAGAAATGTGTAAAAAAGCAAACAAATATTGAGCTTCTTCTTTTTATATATATATATATATATATTATATATAAAATTTTTATTTCCTGAAGGTCATGAATGCTAAAGTAAAATGGATGATTTAACATCTGGAACATTGCTTTAAGTGTAGAATTGCCAAAAGTCCCCTAAGTCTGGATCTTAAACTTATTATATATACTGCTGGCCATTAAAATTGCAATACCACAAAGCGATGACCTGACGAACGTCAAAATCACATGCAAGGAAGAAGAGGTTGGGATATGCAAATGATTAGTATTTCAGCACATTTAGACAATGCAGGAGGAAGAAATGACATCTGAAGCCACTGCATTAAAGGAAAGTTGTGTAGTCAATTTCTCATTCAGAAAGTGCTTTGCAAGGCTGAATGTTGATCCAAATATTGTGTTATACCTCGAATCGTAAGAAGAAATGCTTGCCAGCAAGTGTTGGAATTCTATAGAGGCAGGATCGTTGCCTGTCGAGACTGTGGATTATAGTTTCATCATATCACCTGTCGCACTGGTGAACATCCAAACACTGTCATGCAGCTATAGAATCGGTGGGTTGCCGAGGGTCATACTGAATGGCATGCAGCATCTCAATGCCCTCCCATGACTAAATGCTGAAGAGGACAGACATTGTGAGGTCAGCTCTGAAAAACCATATAATCATATCATGGGCCATTAGTCAGGAAATGAGCATGCTTGCAGTATGCCCAGTATCCACTCATAGAGAATGTCAACATTTGCAACAGCGTGGATTATCAGCACGGTGACCATTACTTCGACTTCCCTTGACAATGCAGCATAGAGAGAAACGGCGACACTGGTACGTTGAACGACAAACCTGAATATACAGGAGTGGCACAATGTCGTCTTTTCAGACAAGTCCCACTTCTGCATGCAGTATTTTTATGGCCGTATATGTGTTTGGAGGCTCTGAGCAGACCGCATGTCACCTGCTTGCATTCGATGTCAACATAGGGGTCCTTCACCTGATGTGATGATTTGGGCAGCCACTAGGTACACAACACACACATTTGTAGTTCAGATTGATGGTAATTTGAATGCAGATTGGTATATTTCTAACATCTTAAATCCAGTTGTTGTGCCCTATCTTTGAGGCCTGCTAAATGCCATCTTCCAAGAAGATAATGGGAGACCATGTGTTGCAAATTGTGTTCTGACCTTCCTTGGTACACAGGGTATTCGATTGCTGCCCTGGCCTGCACAGTCTCTAGATATGGCACCTGTAAAAAACATCTGGTCATGGGTTGCTGAGAGACTGGCTCGTTAACCCCCTCCAACTAATATGGTTGATGAGGTGTGGCATAGCCTTGAAGCAGCATGGAATGAGTTGCCCGTTTCTGTTATCCAAGCCCACTTCGACTCCATGCCTAACCGAGTGAGGGCCATTTTATCTGCCAGGTGTGGCAGCTGTTTCTACTAATTTCACACCCCTGTAAATCCCCAAACTGCTTAATTTAATCATTTAAGTCTTCATGGCCATACTATTTACGTACAATAAATATCTGTTTTGTATTTGCTTTCATTCATGGTGTTGCAATTTTAATGGCCAGCAGTTTATATAGACAAAAGCTGAGAAATTTCAAAGTAAGATGACATATATTATAGAAATCGTTCTGTATGCTGCAAAATACATTGAATGATCAAGACAAAATAATTAATGTAAAATTAAATCATGAAAGGGGCATCTCTTCAATATGAAATAGTCAAATCAGAATTTCAGCAAAATCATTAAAGCAGAATAAATTGATTCAAAATGTGTATATAAAATACATTCAGTGTTGAAAATTCCATCGTCTTTTTCAAGGAACATTTGAAGACTTTTCAGCAGAGCCATGTTTCTGAATTTGAAATGAATGTAAATTCTTGTAACATGTTAAATATAAATTAAAAATTAATTGCAAATCGAATGTTTTTATAAAATAATGTTTTATCAAATATATAAATGTTTTGTAATATATTCAGATTGAGGGAATAGAAGAAATGTCTGAAAATTGAAGGCTTATAAGACTAAAATGGTAAAAGAAAATATTAAAAATAAATGAATAACAAATAAAAAGGCAATATGCCTAACAGTTGGGAAAACTTACATAAGCATGTTAGTCTTGAGAATTCCGCCAAAAGAAAAAAAAAAAAAAAAAAGAGTTGAGTGTGTGGTGGCTGCTGAGAATTCTGTTAAGAAGGAGTTAAGTGGTTTGTGGGTAGAAACTTAGTGTAAAATTAAAGAGGAATAAATTTCATTCTTTTGAATAAGGCCTTAAAATTTAGCAAATTTACATTTTTAAGGTTTAGTAGAAAGAAAACCAAACTTTTTATTTTAAAATTATTAAAGTTAATAGAAGCAAATGGTGTGTGAGAATGTTAAAATTTTTTTTATTAATTCTTGCATGTAAAAAGGAGTAATATGGTTGAAAGGGGAAGAAAAAGTTATGAAAAGAAAAACAGTGAGTTAACAGTAAAAAGTTTTTGGCTATTTGGTATATAATAAGAACTGGAATAGAAATGGCCATTTTTTATGTACAGAGATAGAGGGACTATTTGCAAATTTACAAGTATTTTTACTACTGTTATGCAACCAGTAAATACCTCCACACTTTGTTTAAGTAGATCCTATCATAAGTAACAATAAATTTAAATTAAAACGTTCTAATCTGTAAATTTTAAAGCATTAAGTTAATAAGATTAAGTGGAATTTGATTATTAATAAATGTAACTTTTAGATATTGAATTTTTTATTTATGTCAACTGTAATGAAAATATTTTTAATTGTGAGAATCTAGTGATGTTGGCACTTGTGTTTTTAAAAATTTCAGATTTCCAATGGATGAGTTTAATGGTAGGAAAGTTAGAATTTTTTTTAAAAAATTTCTTTTACCATTTATGTCTCATAAGCCTTCCACTTTGATATGATCTTTTGTATTCCTTTTGCCATTTTAGTCTGATAAGGCTTCCAGTTTCATGTGTCTTTTTACAGTTTCTTTATTTGGAAATGTTTCTAATTTTTTATTAAAAAATTTTTACTTAATAAACTCCTTTTTAATTGATTTTAATAAATTGATTTCCTTAAAACTTTGTCTTGAAGTATTTTAGTTGAATGCTTTGAAGACAGTGACTGAAAATAAGGTCAGAATTGGAATGTGTATAAAAGTTGGCTGCAAACGAAATATTGGCCAGAGAATTTCTGCTCTCTTACTCCTGACTTTAGGGATAGTCATTGTCTAATAACCTTCCCTTGTCTGATGACATTTACGCTACTCATAGCTATATGGTTTCATAAATTCGGTTTTGTTTTTTTCTGAACAGTGGGATGTTAGCTTAAGACAAAAATACTTTCAGCGTGTTTCGCTTAAATCACTTGCTGTCTAGAATTTTGCATTAATACTGCCATCTGAAAGATGGAAAATGCAAAGCAATACAATGAAAATATAATCAATAAAAAGTTTTTATGTATTTATGATTTTTTTAACAAAAGAATATTTATAAGAATACAGACATTGAAAACGAAAGAGAGCTGTAATCACAAAAATGTGAGAAAAAAAATTGATAGGGATACAGTTTGAATGACGAAATATCTACTACACTACAAAGGAGGAAAAATCAATAAAATCAAATGAGAAAAGATGTTAATGTCACAAAATTGCAAAGGGATTTGATTAATTTATATGTATGAAGCAAAAATTATTCCTCGATTTTTATTTAAAATTAATGCGAATTGCTGATTTTCGTGAGAAACAAATAGTCAAACATTATTGTCATGTTAAATTAAAATTTTTAATCAGTGCATTTAATTCTAAATAATATTAATTTTGAAAAATGAACTAAAATTGTTTAAAGTATATATTGATTTTAGACGTAGCTAGGAAATATTTGCTGCCAAGGTCTATTTTCAATATAAGGAAGTGTTTACAAAAGTTAATATTCCGTCATTCGGCAATTACTTCAGCTATGAAATAGCATCTTTGTTGGTTTCATTAGTTTGGCAAGTTCCTAGATTAAACTCAGCAGAAAAGAGAAGAAAATTCCTTTCTATTTCATATCTCTTTCTTTCTATGTCTTATCTTTCTCTCTTATCTGAAAATTAACTAAAGCAGAGCGCTAAAGAAAAGGTTTCAATCATCTTACCTTTGCAATCCTAGCTTAAAGTGGGGCAGTTCCTATTTCCTGTCTTTTTTAAGTGGAACCTTTCTAAACTTTACCATCCTTCATAGTCAACATGTTTCTTTTGGTTTATAATATTTTTAGCAATTCTGCTTATTCTTGGGTTAGAAATTGATTTAAAATATTGCTTATAATTACAGAATTTTTTTTTTTTTTGGGGCGGGGGGGGGTTCTTACTCAAGTATTCTTCTTTTAATGTTTATTTTTTATTTATTTGGGGTCATGTCTAAGCAGATTATAATATGATGATTGAATAAATTAAAATTTTATAAAATATATTTTTATTTTGTTGCTTTTTTAAGGAAATTTAGTTATTTTAATTAAATAATGTTAATCAAGAACATAATTTAAATAATCATATTTGGCACATAATTTAATCTTTATTTTGAAATGTTTCAGGATTTTACAGTCGTCTCTACGTATAATAAAAGAAAGAGTCTGTCTGTGTGTGTGTCTTTCGTTCGTGCTGCGCGTAAGCTTATAGATCCACAGCTACGAAATTTGGTACATAGGAGCATCTAGACAAGAGCCAGTGCACCTCGAAGCGATTTTTTCGAAATTAAAATTAGAATTTTTTTTATTTTATGTTTTGTGATGAAATCACGTCATTTTGAGACACAATGGGCTATAGGAAAGCGAGATTTTTACTCTACACCGTTTTCACATCGTTATGAACCATAGGCACTTAGCTATTTTACGAACTTAAAATAAATTTCATGTTTCAATAAATCAATTAAATATGAATTTATTTAACAAAGCAAGCTTAACCACCTTTTCAATGGAATGTTTTCTAAGAAAGTTTATTTTTAAAAATGTACAGTTTATTTTTCTGTGATTTTTGGACATGTTAAACTTTTATCCTTGTGACTGCTTTTACAAAAAGAATTTTGGAAAAATGATAATATTTTGTATTTTAAAATTTTTTTTTAAATGAAGCTTCCGAGTACACTTCTCACATCTTTAAAAATGTGATTTTGGCAACAATTTTCCTTTCTTATTGTTATTGATAGATTTTTGATGAAATTACATCATTTTGAATAGTTTTATTCTTTTAGAAATAAGGGTTTGGCAACAATTTTTCATCGTATTTCTTATGTCACTGTTTTTAAGAGATTGGCATGTTTCATTTTCATTTTTTTATATATATAATACATTTTTATTGATTTTTTTTTGATAAAGTTGTTCTGCAGAGTAAAATTCTGCACAGAATTTTTTGTTTTTATTTCTTTCATGTTATTTTTTGCTTATTTCACTGTTTGTAAGATATTGAAGAGTTTTGCATGATTTTTTTTCTTCAACGGAAAGTTGGTTAATTTTTTTATATGTAATATATATTTTTTTAAATATGTGTTTTTTTCGGAAGTTTTCTGCAGAGTAAAATTCTGGGCAGTTTTTAAATTTAATATTTGGTGTTCCCTTCAGGCATTTTTATGGTACATTTAAAAGCCAGATGAAGGCTGGCAGTGTAGCTACTAGTCTAGTATAATTCATAAACAACGATGTGGTGAAAATTCTTTGTTTAGTCTTTGTAAAAGACCATAGTTGGAACCCAGCTTCTGACAAGTTATGAACAGAAAGATTCTTTACATATGCAAACCACATAAACTCAGAATTAATTTTAAAGGTAGCAAAATATACATAAAGGACAAATTTATATAAAATAAGGAATGTACTCAGATTCACTCTCTGTGCATACTATAACATGAGATGCTTTTGCAGAAAAAGATAAATAACTTTATTAATAAAATAAATTTGCTTCTTGAGTGAAAATATTACAACTTAGCTGCACTTTTATTGAAAGTTTATGTGCATATAAAAACATTTGCCATGCTGAATTTTCTTAAAATTTAAATATTGCTTATATTCAAAAATGTGTTGCCATGCTGAATTTTCTTAAAATTTAAATATTGCTTATATTCAAAAATGTGTTCAGGTTACAAGCATTCACTGATAAAGCAGTTGCAGATTTTTAGAATTCTTCTGTAGTTTGTCCTTTCATGAGAACTTTGTCAGTCTAGCATCATATTACTTTTTAAGCAGTATATTGTTTACATTGGAAATTTTAAGCTGTTTTCAAAAACAAGAGTGGAAATAATTTTTTTATCAAATATGCTGTGAATTATTTAATCACTTAGTCAGAAGAAGTTATTAAATTAACTACTATGAGTACAAACAACTTATAACATATATAGTTTGTAAGAATTAGAGAATGTCCATATTTTTAATTTGCATGTTATTTTTAGGATTATGATTTTCAGACAGAAGACAAGAGTGTTCCAGCATCTATGCCATTCAAATCCATATATCCTCAGCAATTTGCTGTATTAGAAGATCCAACATATTCTGTTGATATTCCTCTGCTGTGCCTTGTTAAGCAACTTTTGAGGTATTAGAGATTAGAAATATGTGTAAGAAGTTAGACGAGTAAATGTTTTCATATTCAATGCAACATGTATTATTGATGTATGTATAATTTGTCTTAGGTTGATGTTTAATGTTCTGAACAATTAGTTTTCTTTTTTATATCAAAATTAAATGGAATTTATAGAAATTTTCATGTTTTATATTTAAAAAGTTTATTGTTTATCTCAAGTCAAGTTCTTATGTTACATATTTACTTTCATGTCACATATTTGCAATTTGTTTTTTTTTTTTTTTTTCTTTGAATTTTTATGAAAACTGCTGTAGTGTTTGCCCTAGATGTTATGCACAAATTTAATTTTTTCAAATTTTGTAAAGGTGCTTAAATTTGCCAGTTTGGGGATTTGATTAATGATTTGTGTGTAAAGTGAATACATTCAGGTTACTGTTTAAATATGTTCTCCTTTTGCTATGAAAAACAACTTTCTTACTTTTGCAATCAAAATTTTTTGCTGTGTATTGCCAAGTTTGGCAACTTATCAACATTTTGATGATTTTAAGATCAATTTGCTTACAAAAATTATAATTCTGGGATTTATCATTTTGCGATTTGTTAATGAAATATGAGGGTTATGACAATATTAAATTTAAATAACAACAGCATATTAAAATTACCTTTTTTTAGACAAATAATGTTAAAATATTTTTATTTTTGTCTGTCATGTTTTAAAATATTATCAATCATTTTAGTGGTTTTGAATATATTGATTCTGATATTTAAACAAGATAATGAATGTTACAGGGTTTCAAAATTAAGTTTCAGCAAACTAAAAAAACAAGAGGCTGCTATAATTATATTAAAATAAATTTCATTTGTCTCTAAGTGCTTTTCCAGGTGTAATTATTTCAAAATAAATATGAGTTAGGTTTTATGAGTGCATACAATTTGGCATTCTGAAGAAATAACTCAAAACATTAACAGGACATTATATTCCCAGCTGAAAATGGCTCATGTGAATAATGATATGCCTTCAGTGATATACCTGCAGTAATTGAAATGGCAAGAACATTTAAGTACTCAAATTCTGAAGCTGATTTTCCTGCAGCAGTGTAGGTTGAACTAGGCCATATATGTACTAAACAGAACTAACTGGCAAATCATCAGCAAATGGCATGAGTCTTTATGAGCTATGGATTAAACAGGGTTTGTCGTGGTCCTTACAAGTGCTTATAAGTCCTTATATTTGAAAATAAAATATAAAGGCCCTTATAGGTGCTTACTTTTTCTGTAAAGCCCTTATTTTTTGTTTTTAGTGCTTATTTTTTGCTTTTAGTGCTTTTTTTTAATCCTTTTTTTTTTTTTTTTAATGAACGCGCATTTTTCCTCGTACCAAAGCCGAAACTAAATAAACAACTTTTCTTCCTTATATGCAACGTCAGATGGTGAATCATACTCCCGGAAATTGCTTCCCCCCTTTCTCTGCATTAACGTAACCTATGGTACGCGCGAGAGTACAGACAGGTGCACGTCGTTCTATTGGTCAAAGAATTGGGAAAACGGTAGAAAATTCGGTACATTCGGTATTCTTTTCCTCCCATCCAAATACTACACACGTTTGAATTTCTGTCAAGATTTTAATAATTTGCATTCTCGTTCCGCGTGGTCAGTTTATTATGATCGTTATGCTTATATTATGAGTATATGCATGAATATTTATAATAATATAGTTGCAGTAACTGGTGAAGTATAGATAAACTTCCAAAAAAATGGGTGTGTTTTTACGCATATTAGCTTTCTAAGGAATAATATTCGGAATGGCTTAAATAAAAGGAAAGTAATCAAATAGTCAAAAGAATTTTCCCCCCCCCCAATACATCATACAGTACGGAGGTTGGGAGGTTCTCTCCTTTCTCCGCAAAATCTCTAATATTGAAGCAGCGGAATTTTTTTTTTTTTGTCACTATCCAATCTGGATTGAATAGGACTAAAAGTTTTTGCGGTCTACCCAACCTAAGCGAAGATTGATTCTATTCCGGAAATTTAACGCAGTGTGTTGAAAATTAGAATCGGAAACACCCCAGATTAGTAGGTCTCTTTCTTTTCTTTTATTTAGTTCTTTATTCTCCGAATACCGGCAGCTGTTGATTCCGATTGCGTAATATATCACATGTGGAAGATTACGCCACATGTATTGCGCAATAACGTTTGCGGTATTTTGCAGAGATAATTAATTTTGATGTTCAGTCTGAGATTTGTTTATGAACACTTAAAAGAGTTTTTACTGTGCTTTCTAAGCAGAATATTTCTCAGTTCAGTTGGTCTATTTTTATATGATGCACATATTCAAATGTCAAAATCATTTATTTAGCCGAGAAATCTAAAGAACGGCTACAATATCTCCCCACTCCTCTTTTTCCAATTACTACCCGGAATATTCAGCAATTTCCCAGTATGCGGGTTAGTTAAGCTTCTACTGTTAAAGGATGACTACATGAAGTAATTTCCCATCTTCTGATTTCAGAAATGTGCCTCTTTTTTACTTAAATTACTTTGCTTGGAATATATGTTAAGGACAAACTGTTATGCAATGAAAATTTAGAAAATGTTCAAAATTTTGATTTAAGTTAAATTATTTAAATATTAATATGAGTGGAAAAATAAATTGTATTTATTATTAGGTGCCAAACAAATACAGTTAATATGGCTTATTATTATTTATTTTCTATATTTTGAACTGAAATTTCATCATTAAATCTGGTAATATAGTTTAGTTCTGCATAGTTTTTTTTTCTCTCATTGTAAACTAATTCTGTAAATTGAACTGTCATTTAAAATTAAAAAAAAAAGTTAATTGTTTTCCATTTTTGAGGTAATGCTCATTCTCTAAATAAATATTGCGTTGCTCATATTTTAAATTACAAGTCTAATTTTTTTTTTAAGGTTATGCAGTTGTGTATAATGTAATTAGACAGGTGCTTATTTTTTCCTTAAAATGTGCTTGAAAAGTGCTTATAGGTGCTTATTTTTTTAACTAAAATGTGGCTATGAACCCTGTTAAAAAAGAAACTTGTAATAAAACAGCTATACATAATAGGCTACATATAATAGTAATAAAACAGCTACATATAATAGGCTGTGTTTGTAATGCTCAAATTCCTGTGTTAAGAAGGAAAACAGGTAATAAAGCTATAAAGGCTGATTTATTTGGGTATGAGGAAGACAGGATACCATTTATGGAGCAAAGATACCACTTATGATCTCTTTAAATGATGTCTTTCATGACCTATTCAAGGTCAAGATAGACTAATTTCTGGCTCTGAGTATCACAAAAATTCAGAAAGAACACAAATGTCTGGATGTATGTTAGAGGATTTTGAAAAAGACTGTGGAGCTATTTATTTGCAAAATATTGCAGTAAAGGTACCTAAGGAGTAGAACTGAATTGAGAAAGAGAAAATGTTTTGAAGATTATATAATAGTAGATGAAATTTTTATTGCTTATTCTAAAGAGCCTGATACTTGTGAAGAAGCGAATAACTCTAAACAAAGTGTGCATTAGAAAGAAGCAAGGGATTCTGAGATGACAAAAACTGATAGAAAATGAATCATGGCATATAGAAAAATTTCCAAACGATGCTAAAGCTATACCATGCTGGTGGGTTTATAAGATCAAAAAGAATCCTGATGGAACTATTGATAAATTCAAGACTAGACTCATTGCCAAAGAGTTTACTCAGCATCGTGGAGTTGATTACAATGTTTAGTTCAATAACAAGCTAGAAACTGTTCGTTCAATTCTGAGTATTGCAGCCAACGAGAAAATGCATCTTTCTCAGTTGGATATCTGTTCAGCATTGTTATATTTAATACTTCAAGAATCCATACACATGCAGCAACCAGAAGGATATAGTGATGCTTCAATGCAGTTTGTGTGGACTAAAGCAAGCATCACACTGTTAAAATGTTTTGGAAACTTTGTGTCACAACTTGGCTTTGAGACAAGTGAAGTAGAACCATGCTTAAATATATTTTTTTTGCAAAAGAATCAGAGCACCAAGGACTTCTGCGATCGTGACGGAATTTGGTATGCAAAAACATCTTGATTGAACATGCAAATGATCAAAGTTTCAAGGCAAATAGACAGGAATTGCGATCATAGCGCACATTTCTAGTGTGGAATTCACAAAGTATAAAACCAGTAACAGAGGCGGAAAATTTATCTTTTTTTGTTGCTGCCATTCTAATTCCGTAAAGAGGGAACTAAAGATGCTATTACGAAGATGACGAAGACCTTACAGACAACTAAACGACTTTGTTTGTGGTTGCATTGTAGGGTTGTATGAAGCTGGGTGGTCATACTGAGCATTAGGCCATCATCTGCAGCTTACAGACACGGCTGTGCAAAAATGTTGGCAGCAATGGTTGCTACAAGGAAATTGCTGACAAAACAAAGGCTCTGGAAGGCCAAGGATCAGAAAGGCAAGGCAAGATAAGATGATTGTTCTGGCCTGAACCGCCCCAATGGTATTATTGTTGAATATTCAACACACTACAGCCACGTCTATACCTACCGTGGTACCGTCCACCATCTCACAACACTTGTCTGAGGTGGGGTTATGCTCACAGAGGCTTTTAAGACATTTGCCTTTGACCCCCACAACTCGACGGAGTCATCTGGAGTGGTATCGTAGCCGACCATCAAGGCTGCCATCGTATAGTGTTCAGCGATGAATCCCGCTTTAATCTTGAAGCAGATTACCACCGTGTTCGTGCTTGGAGAAGACGGGGCCAGCGGTCCCAATCAGCCTTTGTTTTATAAAGACATACAGCCATACCCCCTGGTGTGATGGTGTGGGGCGCTGTTTCTTATGACAACAGCTCATCTTTAGTCATCCTCCATATATCTCTTAACAGCTCAACCATGTGTTGATACCATCCTGTGGGCGGTGCATTACTCTTCATGGCACGTCATCCTGGGGCCATTTTCCAACAAAGAATGCCAGGCCATATACCGCTCGCATATCTCTGGATTGTCTCCGTGCGGTTGATACTCTTCCTTGGGCAAGGTCACCAGACCTTTTACCAATCGAGCATGTTTGGGAAATGGTAGGCCGCCAGATTCCAGCACCACAAAATATCGCAGATCTGGAGTACAATGATGAATGCCAACAACTGATGAATGCCTGGCAGAATGTGCCACAGGATAACATTAGGACTGTTTACCACTCCTTGCCTCGTGAATTCAAGCGTGTATTGCCGCCAGGGGTGGTTCGACCAACTACTAATTTAAACACTCAATGGGTGATTGTGAGCCGTGAACAGGTACTATGACCTTGATTTTTTAATCATTTTATTAGTGTATGAGCAACACATGTATTCATTTTCATCAAAAACAACCACATCTTTCATGGTGCTTCGATTTTTTTGCAAAAGAGTGTAGAAGAAACAAAAATGGCAAGAAGCTAACCGTATGCTTATTTGTAGATGATGGCTTGGTAGAGTCAACACATGTATAGGAATCTGGAAAATTTCGCAGAGAATTGAAGTCAAGATTCAGAATCACAATTAGACCAGAATTTTACTTTCTTGCACTTTAAATTAAACTTCTTGAATTTGGAAGTATCAAAATTAGGAAGCAAGCTTATGCAAGAAAAGTTCTTAAAAATTTGGGTCGGAAGATATCAGACCAGTATCAAAACCTATCCCAAAGGAAAGTTTTAATGAAAAGAAAAAGGAAGATTAGCTAAACACAGAAACTTTCCCTTATAGAGAAGCTGTAGGAACTTTTATGTATCTTATGTTAGGGATGAGATCGGATTTAATTTACTGTGTTGGCATTCTTTCACATGCTCTTGAAATTCCTTTGAATGAAAATTAGGTCCAAGGAAAATGTATATTCAGATATGTAGCAGGTTCTCTTACTAAAGTTGTTACATAAAAGAATAAATAAAAACCAAGAACACTGGAATGTAATAGTGATGCAGACTTTGGAGCATTTCAAGAAACAGAAAAATTTACAAGTGGAATAGTGATGGTTTATAGTTATGGAGCTATATCATGGATTAGCTAAAGGCAGTCACTTGTAACTTTGACAACTGGAGTAGAGCTAACTGTAGCTAGTGAATATTCTAGAGAAACAATTTGGTTAAAGCGACTATTTAGCGATGTTACCAAGTGACGTGAAGTATAGAAAAAACTTTTTTATGCGAGAGAAAATTCTGGATAAGCAAATTGTTATGCAGTCAATACCTACAGAGAAGCAAGGAGCTGACATAATGACTAAACCTCCATTTAAAACTAAGACTGTTGATTCTTTTGATAAGATGGGAATCTTACCCTTTCTTTTCTAGTTTATTATTGTTCTTTTTTTTTTTTTTTTTTTTTTTTTTTTTTTTTTTTTTTTTTTTATTGACAAGAGAAATGTTAAAGTATGTTAAAGGAAAGGAAGCAAATAATAATAACTATAATAATATATATTGTGGTTAATAAGTTCTGGCAACAGTCAGTGTTGTTTTCATTAGGAGATTGCATTTTGTGATGCTGTTGTTCTGAAGATTTACTACTAAATACTTAAATAAATAATTCCAAAATAAAATTCCCATTTTCTGCTCTTATATTTGTTTTACTTCTAGAAACACTTTTATACAGGCTGTACATTGACAAGATTCTGTGCCCTTCCTTTCACAGACCTCTGCGCTCGCATTTTGACACTAGGACTGGGCATTTTATAGCCTGGTGTAACATCTTCAGGCCCTAAATTCTGCTACCCCTCACCTCCCTAAATTCTAAAAATGTTGCCATTCTTGATTTTTTTCCTGCTCAATGTTTCGCTAAATTTTAAAAACTTGCCCCATCTGAATTCTGCCACCCCCTGTGGTTGCACTGCTGGCACGGATTCTGGCGATACGCTAAATAAATGCTATACCTAACATCAGAAAAGGCATAAGGAAATCATGTTTGTCAAAGAACTAAAGAGCCAAAATTTTTGTGCAATGAAAGTGTATCGGACTGGTGCACAAGAAAAAGGCCATGCTTTTTTCCCTTAACGCTTAAAAATGCAAATTATAAAGCATTTCTTAAAAATTGTAATTGTGTTTGCTTAAAAAGGAGTTGTGTAAAAATGCATAAATAAAGCTGTATGCAATGTGATTCAAAATATAAATATTATGATTAGAACTGTATCTTGCATCCTGTAATCAGGCCCTACCCAGTAGTTTAGATGCATTATGTTTCTAAATGGGATATTACAACTTTTCAAGATATGTGAAACAAGATATGCGAACTTGAAAAGGAAGAGGCAAAGTGTGAAATTCTGTAACTCGTTATATAAACATGATTCAATTGGTGATCTATATTTCTTTCCTTTTTCTGAATATATATATCTAGGAATAAACTGCACTAGGAAGACTGCAGTTTATTAACCGCACTTTGGTCAAAGCAAAGCTCGTTTAACCAATGTCCTGGAAAAGTGATGCTGATTGTGTAGCTGCTAATTAATTTGATAAAATAGGGGATGAAATATCTTGTCACCTTCCATAAACTGTGAATAGTAATCAGACAAGTTATGAGGATTGTTTTTCTTGCTGTTTTTGTGTATTATGAGTGTGTAAGTCTACATATGCTGTGAGACTTTGAAGTAATTGAACTGAAATAATCAAATCCTTTATGCTTATGTTCTACCTGCTACTTTCACATTTTTATAGAATGCAATAAAAAGTTGCTTCTTTGTTCCCAGTGCAGTGTGTGAAGCTAATAAAGAAGGATTTTTGTTAGCAGCTTTTTATGTGTAAAGAACAGAACAAGTGCTAAGCATTTTTTCAACCGGTGTAATCTCTAAGGTTCTGCTGTCTGGTACCTTATTAGACTAAAAATCTTTCCGTCTCTATGTTCAACTGCACAGTATTTGTACTAAATTCTGAAAATTTGACTATATCTAAATTTTTCTGCCTGATATTTCTTAAATTTTGCTGCCTGGGATGGTTGCACTGGCTTTGGCGCCCTTGGAAGAAATATGTTAGCTTTATGCCAAAGATGCTGGTTTTCATAGTTAAGTTCATTTGCCTATATACATTTTCATGTGCTGTCATGAAGTACATTAAACTCTTCAGCTTCATTCGGATAGCAGTTATGTTTAATTAGAGCATTTTGTTTTGATTTTTTTTTTCATTTGTATTCTAGGCGAAGTAATCTTGTTGTTGGAGACTGCAATTTTTTTATATATAATAGAGACATAAGTTTTGCATAGCTTTAATGATGTTAATTAGATATCTACATGTGTGTAATGTATTTTTAAAATGTTTGTCGACAAATTTCAGATGTGATGCTGGGTACATTAATCTATAACTTGATGCCTTTTCGTTTCACTGAAAGCTTGTTTCACTGTCATAGCTGTCTTTCTTTAAAACACACTTATTCATATTTGTTGAAATTTTCAGTTGGGAAACTTACAGAATTGAATAAAATGTAAGTTTATTAAATTTGTAATAATTTCATCTTTCCACTTTTAGGAGTGCCACATCACAAACTTTAACAAAACTTCAGAACTGTCTCCCTAAAAACATGATGTCATCTTCTATTAAATTTGAGAAACCAGAAAAAGTAGAAAAATCAGCATCTTTGAATTTACTTTTGAAATATCAAAGGTTGCTCATTTTTGAGTTTTATCTTGCTGGTGAATTTTGCACTGCATCTGAAAAAAGGAAAGGTATGTACTTAATAGCATTTTTGCCTGTATTGTTTTCATGAAATTTACTTAATTTGTTGCTTTTTACTGATGGAGAGCTATATTTTGTTCATTTCTATAACACTTATATACAGTACAAAGTGCGTAATCCGGACTCGTCGGGACTTCAGTGATTCTGGATTAGGGATTTTTTCGAATTATAGATCATCAATTTAAATCTGGTAAGATGGCATGCAGAAGTTATACAATTAATAATATGAAACCATAATTTATGAAATAAAGAGCAATTATGATCTAAAGGGTATCAAATTTTACAAAAAAAAAAAAAAAAAAAAAAAAAAAAAAAAAAAAAAGCTTAATATTTATTTGTTTACTTTATTAAACATTTCTTTCAACGTGCACATGCATAAAGCATGCATTACGCATAGTCGAAACTAGAAAATTGCAACCAGAAAACTATTTGATGTGTATTAGTGATATTTTTAATGACGAGGAAATTGATTTAAATCATATCAAAGACTGAAGACATCGAGATGAAATGCTACATTTAGTAAGGAATTATAAGCCTAATAAAATAAAAACATCTGCCCTGAAGATAAGGATAGTACTGACAGATAAACTTCCAGTTCATTGCCCTCCCCCCTGCAGAGCAGCATGAAATTGATAAACAGATTTCCAATGGTTAGAGAAACAAATCATTAAGCCAAGCTGTTCTGATTATGCAAGTAATATCATGCTAAGTAGAAAAAATGCAGTTCATTTAGATTGTGCTTGGACTTAAACAACACTTATAACCTTTCTGAATATTGAATTGCCATGCGGTGGAAATTTTGGTGGATCCCTTTCCGAATATTTACTTACCATGCGTGAAATAGCCTGTTGCGGTTCTGTTGATGATTCATCAATTCTTGATTATGTAATCAATGGGATACCGGATGAGAGTAGTAACAAAATTATTTTGTATGGGTGTAAAACTATTTCTGAATTCAAAGAGAAATTAAAAATATATGAGAAAATCTGTGTTCGAGATACGAAGAATAAGGGTTATTCAAGTACTAACTCACAAAATAAAGCATGTGCTATACCTAATAAAAGTACAGAATCAAGGTGTTATGACTGTGGAAGTATAGGGCACGTAATGTATGCACATTCTTTACGTGCGTGCTTAAAGCATACAAAAAAAAGCTTGTGGCTTTGAGGTCTGAATTATAGATCATTCTGAATAATGGACATCCGGATTACAGATTTTGTACTGTATATTCAATATATTATTTTTTTAATACATAGGCCAAATTCACGACTTTTTAATTGTTTCAGATGATTGTAAATCCAGCTTCAGTTTAGAAATTAGAGGTCTGGCTTCTTTATTGCGGAAATATGTTTCAATGTTAACATCATTTTTATTTGAAACATTGCCTCTGGCATCTTCATTGGCATCACACAGTCCTTATCATTTTGCACTTGCTTCATCAATTTTAGAGAATGATGTTTGTGGTATGTTTTCCTCAATTCATTTTAAGTTCTGGGAGTTTTCAATTGTTATTACTGTTAATTATTATTGTAATCGGATTAATATCAAGAGTACAGATAAATCTCTGCCATTTTGTATCAAAAATTGAGCATTTATAGTGAAATAGGAATACATTATTTTTATTTGAAGTATTATCCATCACTAAACAATACTTTTACCCATCTTTCTGGAAGCATACACAGGGCTGTCACTCAAACAGGAAAATGAAATTCCCTGACTTTTCCAGGTGTATTTTAAGAAAATTCCAGTTCATCCATGTAATGCACATTGGCTGTGCTAAGAGATAAATTAATTATGGTACCACTTGAAAACACAAAAATTTGCCAATTACATACGACTTATAATATATAATCCCCAAATCATTACCATTATAACTATAATAGGAGTTGTTTTCTCCACTGAAGATTGAGATTAGAATCTTTGCAATCTGCATTAAAAAATGTCTTTTTTTGCGGACATTTTGCAGCTAAGCGAAAGAAGAATTTATTTAATGATATTTTTAAATAAATTCATGTATTTTATATTTATTTAGTAGCATACATAAACAAAAAACGTGCATTACATTTCATGATGGTATGTCATCATACTGCTAGAATTAATTTCAGGATTAGCCAGAGAAAATTTCCTAAAATATGAAAGTATTATTTACTAATAGATAAATTTACAGAGAAGCAGCAACATTAAATGACACAAATAACATTAAAATAAAGATAATTATTTAAAAATTGAATTAGAATAATCAACGATATTTTGGCGAATATAGTTACATTAAATGGTTAGCCTAGGTGACTGATTACTATTTTTTCATTTTACTACAAAACGACAAATAAGGCATTTATTAAAAAGAGGGGGTTAAAAAGATTTTACGGTAAAATCGTAGTATACGTTACGGCCTTGGCACGATTTTGAAAATTGTCCCCAACACCAAAATGACCGTTTACTGCTCATCATAATATCCCCAAATCCTGTGTATATGGTACATGGAGGCTATTCTATCATCCATGGTACCCTATACTAGGATTAAACCGATTTTAATTTATACTAGAATATGTATTTTCCTTAGTTTAACATGCACTGCATATGCGCACGGGAGTCTCTCGATACTCGAGGTTACTGGAAACCAAAAGTTGCTGGAAACTTGCTTTGCCTTTCTAAAAGACAATCTGATTGGAACTGTGAAAATTGGTTCTATGCCAGCTGGCCAAATGATGCTCATGTGATACATAATTCGCCAAGAATGTGATCACTTCCAATGTCGCCGCAAAACACGCTTTTTTGGGGGGGAATAGCAGTATGAAATTCCCTGACTTTTCCCTGAATTTTTTGGTCAATTTTCAAAATCTCTGACTTTTTCCGGTTTTCCAGGTGTGGCAAACCTGCATACAGATACCACGTCGGAAGAATGCATGATCTTTCAAGGCTATCCAAGAGTCAATGCAAGATTTGGTACCTTCACATGATGTAAAGCACTGCTCAGACAATACATGTGTCATCAATCGAATGGTGAATTCAGCAGAAAGGAGAAAACATCTTATTTGAGTGTTTCTGACTAGGTTTTGATTGATGTCGCAACATGTGGATAAGCATTATCATGCAGGACAATAATTTTGTTATTTTTATTTATTTATTTATTTTTTTTTTTGAGAGCTCGGTTCACTCACATTTGTTTTCTGTAGTGAGCTGCAACAATGGTTCATTCGGTTTAAGCAACTCATAATGTAGAGTAAATAGGATTTTTTGGAAGTAGGAGATGTGAAAAATGTGTAATGCCCTCACTGGGGCTCAAACCGATTTGAATAAGCGCCGAGTGTGCTACCGTTACATCACGAAGGCATACAGTAAGGACGGAGAAAATGCGTTATAATTATATAGCTCCAAGTTGATCCCACCATATACACAACATGATTCTTTTCCCATGAGTATTTGGCTTGGCTATCAATGTTGATCTGCATGATTTCTTCTTTGGATTATTGTAGTGAACCAATTTTTCATCACCAATGACTATGCGATGTAAAGAAGCCTTTCATTTATGCCTGACAAACAACATTTCTTGCATAAAAAATCGGCATGCAGCATTTCCGGCTTCAGTTCATATGAAACCCAATTTCCTTGTTTTTGTTCCCAAATATTTTAAAGGATGGGAAATTGCTTGTTGAGTCACTCCTAATGTAATTGCAAATTCTACTTCCATTTTGCACTAATCTGCATTCAATGTGCTCCCGATTCCACGCTGTCGGACATTTTGATCGTTCTGCTACGTTCCTTGTTTTCAGTGTCAAATTCACCATTCTTAAACTTTTGGAACCACTCACAACAATTTCTCTCACTTGAGGCAGCCTCACCATATGCTTCTACAAGCGATGTGCCTCAGCTGCTGGTTTCTTCAAACTGAAAAAAGTAACTCAAAAGTTCCCCAAAATGATGCTCATTTGGCTTAAAATTGCACAGTTTTACACAAAATGATATGATGCTGATACAAAATCACTTATATTTCAAGGTTATGTTGTTAGCAGACATCTACCTTTACAGTATTATGTTTTACTTGAGACATATTAACTATAACTTACTGGTGGCACCATTCTTGTCAAATGGCAGAGACTTATTTGTACTCCCAATATTTTGCCATAATAATGCTGTCATTCTGTGATCTTTTTAACTTAAATAGCTGGGAAATGTGATAAATTTAAAAGAATGAGGATTCTTATATGCTGGAATTGTCTCATTCATTCAGTGACGTACTGAGTGGACGGGGTTTTCTCCCAAGCATTTGATGAGGGGGTTTCTGAGGAACTTAAGTTTTTAAGTATATATAACTATATGTAAGAATAAAAATGACTTTGTATTCTGAGAGGATGATTACATATAAGTGAGCTGTATTTATGCTAGCAGTACTGATGCTGTAATTTGTTAAGATATAAGCAGTTTTGCACCTCTTTGCGTGTGCTCGCTTTCGTGCAGCTGCCTGGATAGGGTTAGGATGCAGAAAGTGGCTGGGTAACCTTGTGCCAAAATACTGTTACAAACTAAACAAGTTTAGTAAATTTTCTTCTAGAGGTATAGTTTGGCAAAACTGCCTGTAAGAGTTCCAAAAACAATACCTCCAGAGCCAAACTGTCGACCTTCTAGGACTTATGGTAATTGAATTAACCCTTTAGCTCCACAAAACCCCACCTTAGAAAGTCATGGCATTAAAATATTAAAGTTTATTGTGGAAATGGGCTTCCAGAAATCAGTCTCTACTTAATAGTTGGATCAAAACTAGCTACAATCTCTTTTTTGACAGTGTCTTTCAGTTGCTTCTTATGAGATTTTCAAAATTGAAGTTGATTAAAAGCTGTCTTCAATCAAAAATGAGCCATGTAAAATTAGTGGTTTGGCATTCCTTTGTACTGTAGATACAAAGGAATGATGAACCATTAATTTTGATAAAGCTATAAAAAACTTTCAAGAAGTCAAAGCTTGCATAAAACAGTTTTAGTTCTTTTTATTGACAAAAAGTTAAAAACATTCTTTAAATGTATGTTTAAGCATTCTTTTTTAAATGTATGTATGTCTGCTAGATGTAAGTTGTTTTTTCTTTAGTCTCAAATTTTATTTTGTTTCCAAAATAATTCTAACAAAATAAATGTTAATTATATATTTGTCTTGACATTTTATGTGGTAATCATTCTAGTGAGGTAGGGGCACAGAGATTTCCAACCCCAGGCCTTAATAGCTGTAAGTCCGTCACTGCCTGTAGTGCTTTCATTGTAAGTGGAATATAACAATAAATGTGAAATGGAATAAAGTTATATAGGATGATTTTAATTTGGAGTAATCTAAATTTTGTTTATTTTAGGGTGAACAGGAGAAAATGTTAGATTATAAAAACTAATTTTTAATTTTGCTGTTTGTTTTAGTTTTAAAAATGTTTTGTAACTGGTTCAGTTTTAAATCAGATGCTTATGCAATTTTTTTCAAGGTATATTGTTTCCTGAATTTCTGATTTGCTTAGTTCAGTTGGAAATTATGTATCCTTGTCTGATTCACCAAGCACAGCTTATTCCTCTATTATCTCAGTTGCTTGACCAGTTGGATAAGTTTAATCGTCTTGCACCAGGATTAAATAAAGAAGATTCAACTGATTTATTATGGCATGGAAATCCACGTAAGTTTTTTGTTTGTTTGTTTTGGTGGAGGAATATTTGCATATTTAACCATGTGTATTGAAATGCAGTGTGGGGCAAATAAAAAATGCCCGGATTACAGAGTTACTCTGTGTTCCAGGCCACTCTTATTTCTCCCACCCTATACATGCTTAAAGTACAATTTTTTTTGTTTGGTTTGCTAAGAAAATTTTGGATGTCTCATACATATGTGCTAAACGCAAAGTTCATTGCTGCAAAACATAGCCACGATATATATTGATAACTTTATGCCTGTGTCTTACCAGATTATCAATCCTATCCTAGGAGAACTAGGCATGCTTAGATTCAAAGAAGTCTGTTGATAAAAGCGTTTTGTGTGAGGTCTAGGTTCTGTAATGATTAAAGCAAAATTTCTTGATACAGTTACTGTAATGTCTGTTTGATCGCATGAGGAACAAGTTTTAAAATATTATTCAGGAATTGGAGAGAGAGGTGTACAAGCAATACAGGGGCACCTCAGGCAAGGTTTGTTGTTCACTAATGTCAGCAAGTTCTGTAGTTGTAGCAGTGACAGCATTGTGCTTAACATTTCAGTTTAGTTGTGATGCCATTGCCTGATGAAAGTGGTACATGAAAGATTACACCATGTGAATCCCACCAAATTCAGATAACTTAATAGATTCCCTGTATCAGCAAAGGTTGTTCTTTCTTCATGAAAGTTTGCTGTCGATTAATTCCTTCCTTTCTTTAATTTGGCTGCCAATTTATTGAGGCTGAAGTATTATGTTTCTTCCTGCAGTACTGGAATCAAGATAGGTGTTAGTGCAGTATAAGACGGCAGAGAAGCATTGTGTGGCAGTTTTGATTGACTTGAAAGAAACTTGCTGCACCCATTGTTGAAACTTATTCACACTAGTGAGTGGTGATGGTCAGTCATATGGATGCCTTGCAGGGCCTGATTGAGACTCTCTTGTCCTAAGCTCAATATTCTCTTATGAGCCCTAATATCCACATTCTTATATTTTAATAGTAAAGGAGTAAAAAACATAATTGTATGAAATTATAAAATGATTTGGAGTCTTATTAAAATATAAGACCCCAAACGCTAACCTTGTAAGACTTCTAAAAGGTGTAAATAATATTTTTATTATATTTTACACATTCTATTAGTCAGCCTACATCATTGTGGCTGTTCAGTTTTTATTATTTTAGTTTTCTACAGATTCAAAATACTGTTTCTGGTACACCAGCATGATCAAACCGTGGAATGAAATTATAGAGTAATAAACAAACAGACACATACTAAATTTTAATTTCTGTTTATCTGGTCATGAGTTCCATTAAATTTATGTTATACAGAGTGGTCATTAAGTAGACTTTCCAATTAATAGCAACATTGAGAGCCTGGAGGGCAAGGAATCTATTGCAATTTTTGCAGAGTTGAGCACAGGGTGGTATACTCTTATTGCACATGAAGACAGGAGTAGAACACAGATCACAGTTAAGGTAACTAACTGTATAAGGTTTTTTTTTTTTTTTTTTTTTTTTTTTGCCTTCTTAGCATGCTTTTATGATGCAGTAGTCAGCACACAGTGTATTCAAGAAGTCTGAGGTTCGAGTCCCAGTGAGGACATTGCTAATTTTTCACATCTCGAAATAACCTAATGTCTCTACAGTGGTGCCCAAACTAAGAAAGGTAGTGGATGAAGGATTTTGCGACTGGGACCCCTAATCCCCAATCGCCCTTTTAAAGGAGGGAGTGTATAAAGTATTTCTTGCACCTTCTTAGCATGCCTTCATGTTGTGATCAGCACGCTTGGCGTGCATTCAAGAGTTCGAAGTTCGAGTCCCAGCGAATTCATTGCTCAGTTTTCACATCTCCTGCCTCGAAATAGCTTAACCCTTTAACTTTCAAGTTATTTTGATGATTTGGGTACACAATTTGTCAAATTTTTTATTGGAAAAATCAAATGTTTAGTACAAAATAAAATATACTTAAGTAGTTAAAAATTGGTATTTTGAAGTACATGGGTAAAATTTTTAAAGTTTTGTAGCCAATGCGTATTTGCTTGAGGCGGCTGCCACTACACATGGCAGTTGTAAAGTTCGCTTCTAGTGGAGCATTATTTTCTAAAAATGAAAAAAATTAATTATTTTCTAAAAAATAAATAAATGAAAAAAAGAAATAAAAGTGAATACGTATTAGTAGTTCAGTAATTCAGTCTTGTGTGGTACAACTGGAAACACTTTTCCAAGCACAAACCAACTCCACAATCACTACACCAGAATCGTGTTTCCTTCCTTATCTTTTTCCAATTTTTATCCTTTTTCGAACAACACACTTTGCACTGTCTTGTAGGCTCACGTTTCACAGGAATAGGAGGAATATAGGAAATAAAATGTCGTTCAGTAAGACGGGCAGGGTTATCTGTTGTAGGTTGTCTGCCAACATTCTTTTGTCCAGAAGCTGCATCATCATATTTATGTAAAAGCTCTTCTACAACTTAGATTCGAAATTCTAAAAATGTAATAAGTTTCCCAACTACATTTTTATAGAGTAAATATGAGATCCAAAGTATCTTGTCTAGTAAATGTAAAAATATCTTTTTATAATATTTTTTCTGATGTTTTCGGATTGTTGGATGAAAGGATATTTCCTGATCACATCGATCTACACCGCCCATAGTTAGACTGTAGTCAGAAACAATCTTGAGCTTGAGTATATCTTATTTTTTTTTTTTTTTATTTTTGAGGCTGACCATGGAAGCATCATGAATACTGCTCATCAGACACACATCCTTCGTCTTCGGTTGAAGAATTTAAATCATCTATATAACGTTTCAAAGAACTGGACGCCATTTTACAATAAAAAAATCCTGTGCACATTGAACCAAAGAACTTATAACCTCTAACCTTTGAAATCTTCAGTAAAGTGCTGTCATCTATTGAATTCATCACACATTAACTTTTCCCGAAATACAATCGAGTTTGACAAAGAAATGAAGCCGAAATAAACATCTCCCGATATATATTCGGGTATAACAATACGATGCACTCAAAAAAACATTACCCCGTGTTATACTCGGGCGTGACATTTTCGAACATGACGGTTGAATGGTTAATGTTCAAACACTGGAGATTTCATGTGGATTGAGACTGTCCATAACAGAAAGATCATAAAGCATCGGAGCAATATGAATGAAACAAGAATCGAAAAATGATGATCAGAAATCAACAGTTATAAGTCTTTAAGCAGTGGAAAATTAGTAAACTGACAGTGTTAGGCAGTGGAAGGAATGCACCTTGTAGCTATTGTCTTTAAGCAATAGAAAACATGTATATTAAAATATTCATACAGTTTTGTGTTGAGGTGGCAGTACTGTAATCAGAGCTTATTATGACATCCTTCACTCCTCTTTTCTGCCTTTTCCTCCAAAAAATTTCATTGACAACAACTTTCAGACAAAATGTTCATTTTTGTGTTATATACTTTGGCTTTGCATGTCACAGAATAGAAAAGTGAGTCTTTTGCAGGAGCAGTTTAACAAACTCAACGAAGCTGTAAGGATCATAAAGGAAGCATTGAACATCGAAGCTGATCGGTTTTGTCCTACTTATGTCTCTGTCATTGATTGTATGCAGTGTGTTATTGATATCAGTTGTAGACCTATTGAGCTAGTCTAACCTCTGCCTATATAGAAGTCAGTTTTAATTATAGTTTAGCATCATTCACACCTGATAAATCATCAGAAGCATCTGATATAAGCTGTACCCAAGAAAAGGTAACCTTATGCATGTATAATCTTGCCAAAATTTCCTGTGAATTTCGAATCCTGCTGAGTATGCTTCGTTGTACATTTTAGATACATGTTTTCTGCATTTAGTAGTTATTCCCTAGTGAGAAAAATTCATTTCTCTCACTACAGAACCTTTGACAGATCTAGTGAAAATAAAACATCAAAAGTCTTCCAATACAGCATATTTCCTTCTATGTAATATGGTTGCTAGATATAACATTTCATATAAATGAGAAATGCCATCACATGTTGCTGTAATTGGTTTGTTTCCATTTTTCTTATACCTGTATAGGCAGAAAGTGGAAGGTTTAAAACTTCAAAACTAAATATTTTTTAACTGTTTTTCTGATGCAATAAAGTTGCCGAATAATAAAGTTATGCCTAGCCCACTTGTCATGATAATGACATACTGAATTCCTATGAACAATGTTTCTTCACCTTTACAGTTGTCTTTTATTTCATTTTTTGCTCTACCTTCTGTATTGCCATCTCATTTTTTCAAGTCAGATGTGTTTTTTTTGTTTGTTTGTTTGTTTGTTTTTTGTTGCTTGTGTACTTCATACCAGCATCTAATCATGTTTTTTGTGCTCAGAATTTCATCTTCAAATGCTGGTGTTAGTGTAAGAATCTTTTTGCAGTGCAATTATATCAGCTGCTACTATTTTACTGTGAATCTGCACTAATTTTCATGTGTCATGAATTATTGCCAAGCGACTACTGGAAATATCATAAAATTGAAGATATGGTTAAATTGAAGAATTGTGGTATTTATTTTGAATGAGATGGTTTGGTTTATGTGATTATGACAAAGCATTCAAGGGCTATATGCCTAAAGGAAAGAATGCTATCATAGAGGACTTTCTAAAGGAAACTGGCATGTATTCGTATTACACATGGATAAAACCACAAAAATGCCCATGCAGCCAGCCCATTTACGGGATTCGAACCTCGGATGGAACTACCTATGTTAAGCGACTTTAGTGCTCGGCCACTGGTGACCCTTAAATTAAATAATTATAATATTTTGTAATTTCTGATTGTATTTTATAATTATCAGCTATTTAATATTTTAAGTATGCATACTGCAAAAATATCGCTTTTTAAAGGCATAAAATATCGCTTAGTAAATGCATCCATCTGACTGATGTAGGAAAAGAGTCATTACCTATAGAACTTTTGACTGGAGCTGACTATGCTGGGAACATTTTCCACTTATCATGTGGTCTTGTTATAGTACAGACTCTACTCGGCTGGAATGTTATGGGCAAGATAAACAAATAACTATATTTCATTGTAAAGTACTTCATATTTGATAACCAGTATGCTAATCAAATGCAATAAAATTTGTGGACATTAGATGCCACAAAGAATATTAGATTAGAAGAAAGTCTTCAAGGACTGGGTTACAATCGGGAGAGGTTGAGGAAGTACCAAATAATGAAATAGAAGGGAAAGTACACTATGTTCTCAGACTGACCAGTTTTCGAAGAAAATTCTTTGACATCGCTTAGACCATTATTTGATGCATCATATAAAAAGAAAACTTTTTCTTCTCTAAGTAGCTGTTTAGCAAAAGGGCCAAATCTTCTAGAGTTGCTCACAGCAATATTGTATAAATTTAAAGAGGATAGGCATTACTTCAGATAAAATGAAAGTGGTTTTGCAAATTCTGTATATCTAGATGACAGAGATTTTTCTAAGGTTTCATTGGTGGAAAGATGCTGAACAGTCAGAGGTAAAGGAATTCTGCCAAAACCATGAGGTATTTGGACCTCATGGCTGTGGCAGAATGCTGTTTTTGTATGGGGCTGTGATTCATTCACATTTGAAGTAGTATCAGCTACCTCTCAAAGGTACCACTGAAAAGCTTAAAAGTTCCCTTTTTATTGACAGTTGTGTGACTTGGATAAATTCTGAAGGAGATGCAAATTACTTCATCCAGTGGGCAACTGAAGTCGTGTTATAGTGAAGCCGAGCTTCTGAAAGTAAGAGGACTATCGTGGAATAAAGAGCAAGATCTTCTACATTGTGACATTCAAAATACAGGATTATGAGATCTCCCATTGACCAGATGGAGTTAGTTATCTGTTGTAGATAAAGTAACTGATCCAACAGGAATTAGCTACCCTTTCACCCATCTTCCAAAATTATGAAAGACCTTGGAGGAAAAACAGATTTGGGATGCTGAACTGCAAGAGGATATTAAAGAGAAAATTTTAAAATTGGCGAATGATCTACCTTTATTGTCTTCGATGAAGATTCCTGTGTAGGTAACAGTAGACAATACTCTATCATACAACTTGCACATTTTCATTGATGCCTCGAAGAAATCATACAGAGCCGCAGTTTATTTGTGAAGCATATATGAGCAAGTGCACCTTTTTCAAGCCAAGTCCAGAGTAGCTCCATTGGGAAAATGTGCAATACCTAGACCTATTTGTGTCGCTATTGTGTTTCATTAGAGCTAGATTAGTTTCATTTTTCAAAATAAATAAATAAATAAATAAAATTTTGGATTGTGATTTTGAAAGAATACTATTGAATTGATTCTATAACAGCACTCTATTGGATTAAGAATAATGAGACTTGAGGAACATTTGTGAACAGCAGGGTGAAAGGAATATAAAAACTGAAGGCTGGCACTATGTACCAGGAGCCAAAAGTTTGGCAGTTTTATCTCTAGAGGAAATTTTGTCAGGAAATTAATAGTATCCAAATGGTGGGAGGGATCACAGTGGTTGCCAGTGCTGAAGATAAGTGACCTACCTCAAATCCAGTTGAAAATAAAGAGGAACCAGCAGCCAAAAAGAAGAGGGAAACTGCCTGCATCACCGAACTCTTCCTGCCCTACCAATGAACAAAAACAAAACAAACAAACAAACAAAAAAAAAAAAAAAACTATCATGACAAGAAATCGAAGGCCTGTTCAGCTGTGTTCTGAATTTTTTTCATTAAAATTTTGAACTGAATTATTATTTTGGACCGAGAATTTTATTGCATATTTTGATTACAAATTGTATATTGTAAATCCGAAGGAGAAGCATTGTTACATTACTTGTCACTGCAACTGTATTGAAACTGATCTGTATCCTATTTTGAAAACTTTTTGTTAACTTAAACAGTTTTTTTAAAGAAATTTTTCTTATAGACTGTATATGTCATGGCTTGTAATAAAATTGTGTAGCTAAATAAATGTTGTTTAATGAAAAGGATTTATGAGGAAAAAATAGGTTAGCAATTTATCCATTCTCAACAAACATTCCCCAATATGCACAAGAATCTGTAGACTGATATTGCACCTGCAAGAAAGGACTCATATAAACAACCTGGCCTTAGGTAGGAGTTGAGCCTGCATTCTGGAGTCTGAAGTAACAGTCAGGCTCTACTAAATCTATATTAGTTAAGCATCTCAGTTCCTTTGCTTTCAAACTAACACAACTGTAAGAACTGACTACAATTTTGTGATTATGTATTTCTGATTTTTTTTTTTTTTGGCTTTAGCACTAGTCTTTAATTACTTGTTAATTAAAACACTGTGAAGAAAGTAATAATGTAGTGACCCCTTTCCCCAAAATTTGGTATGTTGTCAATGAAGAGGTTTTTGTATGAATTTTTGATTGAGAATTGTTTTTATTTTTCTCTCTAACATGCTGACATGACTGCATAAAGTTGCAAATAAAAGTGGAAAAGCAATTTTTCTGTGTATCACTTGCTACTGAGATTGCAGTATATTTAAAATAAAAGAGCTAATATGAAAACATTTTTGTTAGAATGTAGGAAAGACTCCTGAACATGCATCTGTTACAATACAAGCATGTTGATTAACACTTTTCTTATCAAAAGCATTTTGATAAATATAACAAACTCCAAGCTAAATGCTTTCTTATCAAAAGCATTTTGATAAATATAACAAACTCCAAGGCATAAAAAATAAAACTAATAACTTACATAATTTTCCTTACATATGGAATATGAAATTGATTCAATAGAGTATTAAAGGAAGTAGAAAAGCAAGCAGGATTTTCCATCTAAAAAATTAAGTTCTTTGTGAGGAGGACTGTTGTTGGTAGGTATTTAAAAGAAGCTGAAGTCAAGTTTTAAGTGATAATTTTAAAGCTTTGCTGTTATTGGTGATGAAGCAGTTCTGAAAATAAAAAATATAAACATTTTTATTTTTGTTGCTAACAAAGTAGCATTGTAGCTCTGTGGAAATGAGTTCATAAGTATTATGCCTATTTTGTTTTTCATTTTTATAGTTTTTCATGAGATTATATTTAAACCTGTTGTTACAGGATAAATGTTAAATATAAATATTTTCTCCATGAGTGTGTTGACAACATAACTCAAATTTTATTTACAGCTGTTTTCTTACACAAAACTTCTGTGGTAAAATTGCTTCTGTGTTTCATTCAAATTAGGTTAACAGAATAGCTTTATTTATGTTATGTAAAACACATCTGTCAATAATGTGTGTGCTGTAATTTCAGTTTGTGATGTGGGAATCCCTGTTGCACAGTTACCTGAAGATAGCCCAATTATTCATAAAGCAGACTTGGAAAATCATAATAAAGACGGCGGACTTTGGACTGTAATTTATGGCAAAGTATATGATGTTCAAGATTTCAAACTTAGAGCACCTTGTGGTATTGCAAATATTGAAGAGTACTCAGGTATGATTGACTCTCTGAATTTTGGTACATTAGCAATTTAAGCAGTAAGAAATCTTTTATATGCTTATAAAAATGTGAGAAAGGAATGTATATTTCCATAACAATAAGTTTTGAATCAGACATTTTTTGGGTAGAAAAACATTTTCATATTAAGATATATATTTCACAACTGTCCTTTTTATCTGTTAATAAATTATTAAGTAAAATTTGTCTGCTTAAGTATTTATTTATTTTACTACAAGCACATTAGCTTTATGTAAATACAAACAAAATGTTATTAATATACTTTGTGAGTGACAGTAATATTTAATTTCAGTTTATTATTCTGAAAAGAATGTTCTTTAAATTCATGTATTAGAATGTGGGATTCTCTCAACTAACTTGGTAGCGTTATATGCTGTTAAATAAAAACATCTTTATTTTTAGTATCTTTGATGTGTTATATTTCTTTATTAAAGCCTTTGTGGAGCTTGAGGCTCATAAATAGCTAGTTTAATAGCAGAAAATTCAGTGAATTTTTAGATTGTTATCTTACATGTTACATCCCCCCATAGGACTTTGTAAAGTTAACCAACAGGTTCAATTAATGTTTAAATAATGTGTTTATCAGTGAAATATGTCAGGAAAGAAGATTGAAACTTCTTTCAGCAGAAATTGGTGAAGTAGTGCCTTTAGCAAGAAAAATCTGTGATTTAAAGAACTTTATTATAATTAGAAATGAGACTAAAGGTGACTTGGATTCTGAGCCAAGTTCCAAGTTCAAAGAAAGTTTTTAGTTCAAAGAAAAAATTAATTTAAAATATAGTTCAGCTAGTTTCACAATGATTAAAAAAAATGTCTACTCTTTTGGAGCCAGTTAACATACTGCTTCTGAAAACAAATTTCAATATTTAATGCAAGCAACTGTCATTGGTTTCAGAGCAAGAGAAGTAATGGAAAGTTTCCCACCAACCGAAGCAAATTGTGTAAAGACTTTGATAGTCTAAATGCTCGGTTCAGTATGTATGTTTTGGTGAATGTATATGTCAGGGAATTATTGAAATTAATAATTTCTGTGCAATCCAACCAAAAATTATAACTGATACTCCTCTACTACAAACTCTTATTTGCAAGCTCTGAAACACTGAGAATTACAAAAGGCAAATGCCTATATGCATTTATAGGCATCTTTGCCTGCATCATAGAAACACAAACAATAAAACAAAAATATCACAGCATTATTGCTGTGGTATTTTTGAGATTAGAAGAGAAAAGTTCTGCTAAACTCTTATTGCTGTTTGCTAAATCCAGAACAACCCACAATGGTGTACTAAACCTGCAGATTTTTGGACCTGTGGAAGCATCTTGAATAAAGGCATTAAGGAAGAAGCAATGGAAAAGCAGTTAAAATCTACAGAATCTTTGGCTAACATTAAAAATATTCTCCAGTGTAACAGGATCTATTCATACTTTTCTAAATACTCATAAATAGTTCATTTAGAGGGTTGGATTTTAAGATTTAGAAATAATTGTCTCTACAGTAAAGAAGAAAGAACCATAGAAGAGCTCACTTCTAAATTTCAAAAAACAGATGAAATTAGTGCAAATGATTCAAGAAGAGACCTTTCAAAGGAGAAAAAGATAAAAGGTTTAAAAGCTTGGCTACTTACCTAGATAAAAGGAAAATAATACTGTCAATAGTTTTTAGGGGACCTAACCGCCAAATCCTGGGTCAGGAGAATCATCATCCAACACCCTTTTAGTTTGGGCGCTACTGTAGAGACATTAGGTATTTTTCGGAAACATTCAGAATAAAAAATATGAAACGCCTTCCCTGGGAATCAAACCACAGAGCTCTGGAATACGTGCCCAGTGTGCAGACCACCACACCACGAAGGCATGCCAAGAATACAGGAGAAACACCATATAACCTTCAAACCATGAAGTTGTGCTGAAGCTCATTGAACATTTTCAGAAGAATAATTTGCGTTGTGGCCTTCAAATTTTGTAGAATATACTATGTGAAAAGTTTTGGATTTTTAAGAAAAAAACAATATCCAAAATCATATCAAAGTGCACCATTTGTAAGCAGTTCACTTTAAAGAAGCTAAACTCTGATCCTAGACCATTACCAGAAAAGAGTGTTTGTTCTGTTTTTCAAATTACAGGAGTGGATTCAGCTGGACTTTTATATCTTAAAGGGAATTGGAAAGCATGGTTACGGCTTTATGTCTTGGAGGGAATCAGAAGGCATGGGTACCCCTGCTGTTTACTAGGCAATGCATTCAGAACTTGTGCCAGTTCATCTACTGAGCTATTTTTAATGGCTTTTCATAGATTTATTGGTAGATGAGGAAGATACTGCACTATTTATTATAACAGCAGTTCCATTCTCATAAGTGCTGCTAACGTAGTTCATTTCTTGGATTGGAATAAAATTGTAAAATACGAGGGCTGTTCAAAAAGTATTGAATTTATTATGCAAAACAGGTTTTGAGTCAATCTCCTTCGAAATATGCTCCATTGGCAGTAACGCACTTGGCCCAACGATGTTTCCAGTCCTCGAAACACTTCTAGAACTCCGACTTTGGGATGTCCTGAAGCTGCTGCGTCAAATTCTGTTTTATGGTCTCAATGTCCTGAAACCAGAGTCCTTTTAAGGTGTTCTTGATCTCGGAAAAGAGAAGAAATCTGGAGGTGACCTGTCCGTCGAGTAGGGATGATATGCTACTTAGATTGTTTTGTGTTTTTCCAGGAACTGCTGCACAAGATTGCTGGTCTGTGATGGAGCTCCGTCATGATGAAGCATCCAGCGAGAGGACGCCCACAACACCGGTCGTTTTCTGCAAACAGCCTCTCTTAATCTCCTCATGACATGCAAGTAGATTTCTTTGTTCACTGTCTGGCCCTGGGGAGCGTACTCATGATGAACAATTCCATCTGTATCAAAAAACACAAGCAACATGACTTTGATCTGGCTTCGCACCTGCCATGCTTTCTTTGGGCTGAAGAAACTTTCTTTGGCTTTTGTTACGACTGCTGCTTTGTTTCGGGATCATATCCGTAAATCCATGACTCGTCTCCAGTGATGATGAGCTTCAGGAACTCCGGATCGTCGCTTGCACTTTGAAACAAATCAGATGAGATTGCCAGTCGTTGGAATTGCTGATCTTCAGTGAGGAGACGCAACACAAGCTTTGCAGACACTCGGCGCATGTTCAAGTCCTTTCTCAAAATTTCATCACGTGATCTTATGCAAACGCCAAACTCCTGTGCAATTTTCCAGACTGAAACGACGATCAGAGCGCACCACAGCCTGCACTTGTACAATCTTGTCCTCGTTGAAAGAGGTGGACGGGCGTCCAGAATGGGGATCACTGTCCACTGATTTCTGACCCTCCTTGAATCGCTGGAACCACTCGAAAACCCGAGCACAACTCATTGCCTCATCTCCAAATGCTGTTTTCATCATCTCGTAGGTTTCGGTGTCCGTTTTACTGAGCTTAAAGCAAAAATTGATACCGATTCGCTGCTCCGTGTTTTGAGACATTTTCTGCTTTCGACGAACGCGCGCAAACACTCCACATAAAAGGAAGTCAGTGTGACTCAATGGCGCGCTGTACAGACCTGCCGGTTTTTGTGAAGGGAGGTGAAACAGGCCGATGCTATTCGCACCACCGGTGCGATTAGCCGCTTAAGCTGTTCGCACCAACATTAACCACGCATGCGCATTGAGTTGCAGATCCGTCAATTGAACCCCATTGAAAGGAACGAATTCTACGTACGCAAACTGTTGTTGTGAATTTTTTAAAAACAGGCGGGTTTCTACCTTGGCGTAGTTTATCATTTTTTAAGCATTGGCAACTTTCAAAAGTTTAGAAAGGAAAATGGGTTCCTTTTCTTATAAAAAGAAGGAACACATTTCCTTTTATTAAAGTATATATAAAAAAGAGCAGATTTTTATGTTCACAATGTTTATCCTTTTCCTGAACAGTTTCAATAGTTTAGATGTCTGATTTGGGGGGGGGGACAAAATCTTGTTTACATTTTTTGTACTTCTTAGAATAAATACATTTAGCTCTAAAGATGTGTTTGCGCAATCAAGATTTTAATTCATTCCTCTTTGAAAAATTTCGTCTAATAAAAGATACTAAAAATTAGACAGAGGATTTCTGTGTAGAAAATTTAGACATGAAATAAGTTAAAAGAGATTATATCAACTATTAAATGAATTATTCCGTGTGCCTGCTTATTTTTTTTATGGAAATACTTGGCATTTTCAGGACACAAAAAGTGCTTCAAAGAAAGTTGAGATATTAGTACAAACACATTAATCAATTAAATTGAAATAAATAATGGGATGTAATTTAAAAGACAGAAATAATTTAATGTAACAGATTTAGATTTAAAAATTTGCACACACAAATGATGTATCAGATTTTGTAAGGTTTTATTTCATAAATAACTTTGATTTTCAAATATCACATTTGAACCTATCAGTGTGTATACTAAAAAAGTGATGAATATATAAGAATATTATCATTTTCAGTAAGTTTTCTTATTGAATAATAAATAATAAATTCTGACAGTCCTATGCTATAATAATAGTGTCTAAGTTTGCATAAAAATTCCTCTGTTAAGTAAAAGAATTTAAGTAATTTCTGTAGCCTTTTTGTCAATACACTAAAGATTTTTTAACTAATTACTTGTCCTCGCTTGCAATTAGAACCATCATTAAATCCCTGTTTTGTCTAATCATTTCCTGAACATTATCATGTATATAGATTGACCTCGTCTTTGTAACTCATAATTATTACTTTCAAATTATTCTCCTGCTGGTGAGCTATTAACAACATTCGCTCTCGCTACTGCCTGTCTTACAGAAATTGGCGTAAAATGCTGGTACCTGAGCTGATTGTGCACATGCGCAAACGTGAATGTGAATAGCCTGTTAGCTATGTATAGGTGGTGTGAATAGTCTGTTAGCTATTCGCACCGTCGGTGCGATTAGCCACTGCAGGTGAAACATGTGCGTGCATGATATGCACAGTCCCACCGCTAGGGGTTTTGTGGAATAAATAGAATAAATTCTTTCTCGATACTTTCTGAACAGCCCTCGTATAGTACAATGAACAGAATTGATTAAGAATTCAGCCGACCAACTGTGGTTTGGTGGGGGCAGTTGGTTTGAATGATAAAGGACATCCTGAAAAGGGTCTTAAGTTCAGCAGAATTGCTTAATGAAGAATTTGTCTGACTGTGAAGTGTCAATGGATTCTCAACCTCTCACCTACCAGTCTAAAGACAAATAACTAGTTCCTATATTACCTTTTTTACTATAAGATATCCAATGTTAATGCTCGCAACTATCAAAGCTGAAATCAAAGGATCAAAATGTAGATAAAATCTGCAAAGAGATATAAGAAAATGATTCAGAAGTAAATAGCTAGGTCTTCTTGTTCAAAGAGCAAAAAGTGAAGATGTTCCTAAAGTAGCTGTTGGAGATATAGTACTAATTGGAATAGACAATAGTAAATGAATCAACTGGCCACTGAGATTAATAACAGAACACATTGCTGGAAGGATGAACGGGTTCAAGTTGTAAAAATAATGAATGTCTCATTTGGAATTACTTTGTCTGACTCAAAATATGCACCCTTTAGAGGTTTCATTCACAGATGACATCCTAAAAGCAGAAAAGTTAATTGTATTGATAATAAGGACTTAGTTCAGAAGGGAAGTGTCCTAAAATTTGAAAGGCAAATATCTAAATCAGGTAGACAGATAAAAGTTTCTGACAAAGTAGATTTGTAAAAGGGGAACATAAGATTATTTATCGTATGTGCTCTTTGAATTTTTGTCTTTTGAAAGAGTTTTTGAATCATTTGTTCTAATTTCATGTCTGCTTTTTAATTATATGTTGCCATACATTATGCATTTGTGTTCAGTATGATATAAAACATAATGTATGATGTTGTGGTTACAGTGTATGATCAGAAGGTAGGAGTATATTATCATCTGCTTTTTAAGTATTTATTTTAACATGACATTAGCTTTATGTAAACAGAAATAGTATTTTATTAATATAATTTGTGAGTGGCCACAGTATTAAATTTCAGTTTATTATTGTTCTAGAAAGAACATTTTTTGAATTAGAATTAAGGATTCTCTCAACTTGCTTAGTAGATTTATATAATAAAACTACATTATTTGATTTTCATATTTTTTTAATTAAATTATAGACATGTTTATAATGATAAAAAAATGCTGACAGCTAAATATACTTATTCTTCATATTTTGTTTCAGTACTTCTATATAGTTACCATATTAATATCATCACAACTAACAAAATAACTATGTGTTTCACCAACATTCAAAATTATTGAGCTGGGAAAGTATATTGGGATCCCTGCCTAAATCTCAAGTTTAGAAAATTATATCAGAGTGCATAGAAGTGATTTTTTTTTTTTTTTTTTTGAAAATTAACTGTATCATTTTAGACTTATTTATTCAGAAAGTTAAAAGAATTTTAAAATGTGAAATTTGCTTCTTTTCTGTAGGAAAAGATGCTACTGGTGCGTTTGAAAATGCAAATCACACTGATGATGCTAGAAAACTACTTCAGACGTTTTTTATTGGAAATTATTGTGATGTATGTGATTAATTTCATTTATCCTTAATAGAAACTTCTCGAATGATTTTATAGATATTTGTTATTCATAATTATCATATTTTGTAGCCTGATTTAGAGCTTACTCAGCGAGCTGATCCATCAAACTATACTTCAGTAATGATAGACACTCAACGAACTTTAGCTTACCTTTTGGGGTTGAGTTCCCGTAATGAAGTTGTGGGCCCTCCTATGAATGCCTGTGAAACTGAATATTCTCAGTGGCTTTCTTCATCTGTGATGTTAGGGGGCCTTCAGGTATCACAGCCTCCAAATCCATTTGAAGAAGAAAAGGGTGAAGCCCGTAGTGCTTCTACAGCTGCATCTCCAGGTTCGTAATTTGTATTTGATATTTAAGGTTTGTAATTTTACTCATTTATCCATCCTTAAAAATTCTCAAATCCTCAAAGAGAGTTGCATCAAGCTGTATATATGGAGATTCTCTAACCAGTTGCAAATGTTTGGATAATGTCTTGGAATCAGGGTTGCCACGCTACCTGGAAAACCGGAAAAAGTCAGGGAATTCGGAAATTGACCAAAAAATTCAGGGAAAAGTCAGGGAATTTAAGTGTTTTAGTCAAAATCTGGAAAAGTCGGGGAATTTCATACGACGATCCCGCCAAAAAAGGCGAGTTTTGCGCTGACGTCGGAAGAGATCACTTTTTGGTGAATTGTGTATCATGTGAGTGTCATTCGGGCAGCTGGCATAGAGCCAATTTTCACAGCTCGAATTTGATTGTCTTTTAGAAAGGCAAATCAAGTTTCCCGCAACTTTTGGTTTCCAGTAACCTCGAGAATCGCATGTGCAGTGCATGAACTAAAGAAAGTACCTGTTCTCATATAAAACAAAATGGGTTTAATCCTAGTATACAGTACCATGAAGGTTAGAATAAAAAAATATGTATTGTAAAGAAAGAAAACCTCTCTGCAACAGATGTGGCTCCGTTCCATCATAGACGGAAACAGCTGTGCATGCGAGATATATCTGTCGCCAAAGCTCGAAACCAGTGTCGAAGTTCGAAGGTCACGTTATCAAGAGTTCATAAAATGAATATCATTTAAAATTTCTTTAAACTCTAAAGAAAAAGAAAATATTTTTGGTGCAAGTAAATTAATTCATTGATTAGTTATTTTGAGGGGGGGGGACTACGAAAATCCGTTTTTAAAATTATTGCGAAAAATCCAAGAAAAAACGTTCTTTGATAAAACGTTTCTTCTTGTATTTTTCGCAATAATTTAAAAATGGATTTTCGTAGTTTTCTTTTTTGTCAAAGAACGTTTCTTCTTAACACGTGTTTCTCAATTTCCTGTACACATCGCGGAGAGGGAAATTCTGGCCGCCAGTTTCCGTCACCAAATACCTTGGCAAATTTTCCCTCCACTTTCTAGCCACGTAACAGCATTTACGTGTATGGAACCTTTTCTTCTTTACATAGACGTTCTTTGGTTAGAATAATCTCCATGTATGGTACAGCGGGATTTGCCGACATGATGATGAGCAGTAAACGAGTCATTTTGTTCTTGGCGACAATTTTCAAAATCGTGCAAAGGCCGTACAGTATACTAGGATTTTACCGCAAAATCTTTTTCTTTTCTTTTTAATAAATACCTTGTCATTTTGCAGTAAAATAAAAAAAATAGTAATCAGTCATCTAGGCTAACCATGTAATGTAACTATTCGCTAAAATATCGTTGATTATTCTAATTCAATTTTTAAGTAATTATCTTTATTTTTATGTTATTCATATCATTTAATGTTGCTTCGTTCCTCTAAATTTATTTATCATTAGTAAATAATATTTCCAAATTTCAGGAAATTTTCTCTGGCATAATCCTGTGAAATTAATTCTAGCAGTATGGATGACCATCACGAAAATTTAATGCACATATTTTTTCCTTATGTATGCTGCGAAATAAATATAAAATACCTCAATTTAGTAAAAAAATATCATTAAATAGATTTCTTTCTTTCATTTAGCTGCAGAATGTCTTCAAAAAAAGCCTTATTTTATTCCAGATTGGGGAGATTCTAATCTCAATCTTCAGTGGAGAAAACAACTCCTATTATAATTATATTTGTGTTTTCAAGTGTTAAGGTGCCTTTTAAGAAGCCACCTCACACAAATTAAATTTACCTAAAATCTAACCTAACTTTTAGCATTGCGTTCTGATTTATAAGAACCGGATTAGCCTCATGTTGAACTGGTGATGATCAGGAGTAATAATTAAATAAAACATACAATTGTTATCTAATGTATATATCTTAAATTGTATTAAGTTTCTTAAGTGGAAAAGTAAACAAAATTATCAAACAAAGTGTATCAAGAATAATTAAGAATAAATGTCCTTTGGGATTTATTGAATAATTAAATGAATTTGCTACACAGTACAAGTAATACCATAATTAATTTACCTCTCAGCACATCCAACGTACATTACGCGGATAGACTGGAATTTTCTCGAAACATACCTGGAAAAGTCAGGGAATTTCATTCTCCTGTTTGAGTGGCAGCTATATGTTATTCATTATAACAGGGCTGTATATCATTCATCTGCTATATAGCCGATGAATGATACTGCGTGTCCACATCGAACATATTTTGTCAGAATACTTGAAAACAGATTTCACTCAAATGTATTAGGCAACTCACTCACGAGTCTTGAACTTGATTAAGTATGTATAAGATACTGCTTTCACAGATCCTACAGGATCTTGAAAATTTGCTTTCAGAAGAGTTATATGCAGTTTCATAAGACTTGATCAACAGTTTGAAAAATTCTGTAAAATGAAGATATGAAGTTTACATTTCTATCAGAGGTGACGATATATGATATTAAACAAAGATTTGTTGCAAAACAAGAGAGATAAATTTTCCATCACTTTTAAATTTACATAAATCTGAAGTAAAAAAATAGTTGGATGGCAAGGGTAGTAATTTTATGGTACATTTTTGAAATCAGCAAATTTTGTTTTTAGTACTATAACTAGTGGCATTAAAACTATATCTGATTTTATTACATTTTTAAGTTTGGTAGATACTTCAAAATCATTTTTTGTTCTTACTAATTTCAATTTAATTTCAGGATAATAAATGAATAATTATCAATAGCAATATGACATTAATTTCATTTTTTTTGGCTAAATATAGCTGCAGAACATTTCTAATTGCATTTTAAGTGCCTACTAGTAACAAGAACATTGATTACTTTTTAATTATAAATAATAATAATTGTGTGATATATCTGATTAAACAGGATCTGCATGTATAAGATTTTTTGTTGGATTATTAAATCTGTGTATGCTTACTGCCTGAAAATTCAGTGCTTCCCCCCCCCTCAGTACCTTATTTTCATCTATATGCAAATCAGATTGCAGAAACCAGTAGCAAGATAATCCCCCCCCCCCAAATTCCAGTTTAAAGGCAAATGCCAAAGCTGAGAGCTTAGGCTGACATTTTCTGACTCGATATAAGGATTAAATTCTAAAGTCAAAACATTACGACCTGTGTCAGTTCATGTCAACAGCATTACAGCTTATTAATCACTTTTAAGATCACCAACTAAAGTTTCAGCAGGTATATTGAAAAATTATAAAGGAAAAACTGAAAGCCTATGTCCTGTTCATTCTTAAATGTGTCTCATACAGAGCAAGAACACATAATGTTAAAAATTTCTAATAAGAGGGAAATTGTAAAAGCATATATCTAGCAAGAAACTCAGTCCTCGACTATGAAAGTGAATAACTAACCATGGGCTACATGTGTGTTAATATTTAATCTAGATCACCTAATTATTAATTTATGTTATTGATATTTTTAAACCTTTGATCAGCAAGGCCATATATATAGCCTAAAATACTTTTGTAACATCCTTAAGACTATATATATGTATAAATGCATCTTGAAATATGCCCAAGAAATTAAGGCAATATATTAAAAGTACATAAATTGAAGTGCAAAGTACCAGAGGCATTTTAGTATAAAAAATTTTTAAAAAAAACTCTTTCTGATGGTGGTTGAGAGAAATGTCGGCTTTCTTAGTGAAACTTCATGCCAGTCAGAGGATTAATGTTGTTTATAATTGCTGAACTTAATGTAAATTTAATTTAATATTTTTAAACTCAGGTTTCTGTTGTTGAACAGTTAACCTACCTAAGATTGATCTGAGAGCAGTCTTCATATACATATACATATACATTATTTGTTTCCGTAAATGAATGTTTGTCAATAAACTTTTTCATCATTATTTAATTCTGTTTTATAGGAAGTCAGTTGACATAGATACAGTTTCTTAATGAATTTTTAAAATTATTATTTTATTCATGGATTTGTAATCGTATTTCTAAAACAAAATTCCAGTACGTCAGATAAAAAATGATTACTTTTGATGCAGAAGACATATATTATTGAACAACAAGTACTTGCAAATTTTATGATGACACAGTAAGTGGTCATGAAAATAAAACATTTTTTGAATAAATGAATGTTAATACTACTAACTATTATTTCTCAGCCTAGTTATGATTTGGAAATTATTTATCAAGACCAATACTTTGAACGATTTTGTTGTAATTGAGTAAGTATATTATTTATAGGTCATTGGAATTAGAGCAGCATATGGATAATAAATTTGCATATTTAATCATTTTTCTAACTCACTAGCAGTCAGCATAAATTCAAAAGACATTTTTATAATTACAGTTACTAAAGCTGGAAATTTAAATTTGATGATTTTAATGGTTAATAATAGTTCCAGACCTCTAAAATGTGTACTTTAAAATGTGACTGGAATTTTATAATGTTTACATTTTGCATTATACTAAAAGTTTTGGCGACTCCTTTAGTTTTTGGGTGAAAAAAAAAGTGAACTCATGGGAAAGGAGAGTGTAAGGATAAAAAATGGTAGATGGTGTGTGTCTTTTATTAAATGCTATTTTAATAGTCATTACATGGTGATAGTGCTAGTCATTAGGTCATGCTTCAAGCATTCTCTTATGTTGGATTTCTTGGTGCAAAGAATGAAGGAATGAAGGTTTAGGCCTAATAATTCGAAAACATGTACCTAGCGATTCTTTTTGTGAAGTACTGTATGAGTTATGTAAATAAATTATATATGTGTGTATGATCAGATTCATCATTTGTGTTAAACATCTGTTATCTCTGGAATTGGTACTTCTTAGGGAATGAAACTTCATTATTGTTGTTACTACAAAGATATCTACAAATTAATTTTGAGAGTTAAAAATGATTTTATTGCAAGTTTGTTACAAGAATAATTTAATTTTGACAGCTTTTTAAGAACACCAATCTAGGTGTGCTAAGCCTCCTTTCATTATAATAATATTGAGCTGATAAAGTAAGTTATTGGACCTTGATATGTGTAAAAATGTTGATATCTTAAGTTGCAATGGAGATAGATAGCTTGGGTCAGAAAACTGGGAATTTGACAGATAAACTTTTAAGTGTGCTTGTTCAGAGTGTGATGTTAGCCTGTTTGCATGATTAACAGTAAAATAATTGTGCAACACTGATCATGAAAATGGACTAAAGCATTTGTAAAACTAATTTATGTGTGTGGTTGAATTTTATAATCGTAAGCATGGACTGCTGAATCATGGTAATTGTGGAGAAGTGATTTTTATTAAATTCCATTTTTGCAATTATGATAGGCATTATATGTAAATCCTGCACTGCATCACAGTAGATAAATAATAATCAAACAGATAAATTTGGTAACAGATCATACATTTTTTTACCATTGCTGGTATTTATCATTTAGAACTTGTGCACTGATAATTTTCTGTGGGCTTGAAAATAATTTTAAATGGCTTGTAATAGGAAAGAATATATATACGATACAAAGCCCAAATTCTGGATGTTCAATATTTAAAATGAACAAAAATCCAAATCTCCAGCAAACGTTTTCTTAAAAAAAAAAAAAAAAAAAAAAAAAAAAGTGTGTGTGCACTTTAAGCATGTGCATTTGATATTTTTTTATAATAAAATATGGATACTCCTTATCTGTAATTTCACTTGGGCGCTAAATAAAATACCTCTACAGTGAAGAAACATTCATTTGTTAGCATCAATCTGTATGGCAATAGTTTGGCTTTGTAATTGCCTTTTTGTTTGCCATACATCTCAAACCAAAGCATTAAGCATTGAAATCTCATTCAATTTAACCTACTAAATAACTCATATCCTTGACATCAACATAGCAATTCATTATTTCTTATTTTTTACTTTCATCACCTCATCACCATTAACTCATACCACCTTGAGAAATGACTTATGCAGTGATGCCTAAACAATTTGTTGTTATATTAGTATCTGAATATCAAAGAGCACAGTAATCTTTTATATTAACATTGCACTTGGTGTTGATTACCGATATTAGCTAACTGTGTTGCAAAGTGCTGAATGTGATGACGAGAAATTAACTAAAATGTCTTTCCATATGCAAAAAATAGATTTTGTAAGTAATATTTATAGGCCAAAAAATAAAATTTTGTACTGTTAGAAATAATAACAACTAATGTGATGTTCAGATAAGCTTTAAGTATATGTGAAATTTTTTTTAAAATTAAGGACGCAGTCGTAAGCATAGAATGTGAGTACAACCAAAATGAACATAAGTACAATAAATAACACAACTAATGTAATTCTGGCCTTATTTACTAACTTCTTCTTCATCAACGTCCAGGAAAGCCCAGGATGAGCCATTGCCTTCCTCAGAATCGAATTCCAAGCTCTTCTATTCCTGGCCATGGACATCCACTTGGTTATTTTTAAAATTCTTAAGTCTGTTTCCAAACAGTCGAGCCACCTAAGTTTAGGCCTCCCTCTTTTTCGGGTGCCGAATAGTCTGGCCGAGATCTTTTTAGTTACTCTATTTTCATCCATTCTGCACAGATGTCCTGCCCATTTAATTCTCTGAATCCCTATTTATTTTACTATATTTATTTCTTTAAAGGATTTATAGGGATCAGAGTTAGTTCTTCTAAAGTTATTGTTACATTTTATGCCACCATAAATACATCTCAAAATTTTTCTTTCAAAGACAGAAATGATACTTTTAGCTTTTTCTCTTGTTGCCCAGGTCTCAGTAGAGTATGTAAGAATGGGTCTGATTAAGCTTTTCTAAATTAAAATCTTCGTTTTTCTGCTAGTGAAGTTAGACTTCAAGTATTTTTTTTAGACCGAAAAAACATCGGTTAGCATCTTTGATTCTACTACGGATCTCGGACATTAAATCATTGAGAGTATTAACTTCTGATCCTCAATATTTAAATTTGCTAACAGTTTTAAATTTGTAATTCCCAATTTCAAAATAGGGGCTGCTGTTATTACCACATGCGATGTATTTAGTTTTAGTTTGGTTGATTGCTAGATTTATTTTGCTGGCTGCAGCCTCTAGAGATGTAAAAGCCTCTCTAAGTGACTCAGGAGTGTGTGCGACTATCAATATCGTCAGCAAATTCAAAAATCTGAACAGACTTGTTAAAGATAGTTCCACGAGTATTAATGTTGGAGTCTTTTATGATTTTTTGGAGGGCAAGGTTAAAAAGCAAGCAGGCCAGTGCATTGCCCTGTCTGAGCCCATTTGAAACAACAATAGGCTTAGAAAGATTATTCTGGATTTTAACCCTCAGTTTTTTCTCATTAAGAGTAATGGTGACCAAATTTATAAGTTTTTCAGGTATTGCAAATTCTCACATAGTTTCAATTAAATATTTTTTGTTTACTGAATCATAGGCAGTCTTAAACTCAATAAAAAGGTGGTGTGTTGCGATGCCATATTCATTAGTTTTTTCCAAAATTTGCCTAATGTTAAAGATTTGTTCTGCTAGGTCTTCCCTTGCGGAAACCACATTGGTAATCACCTAAAATATTTTCTGTATAAGTTACTAGTCTACTAAAAAGTATATATTGGAAAATAGTTTGTAGAAAACACAGAGATTCCCATGTAGTTGGTACATTCCAAAATGTCTCCTGTTTTGTGTATAGGACAGATGATGCTCAGTTTCTAATCTTCGGATAAAACCTCTTGCTTCCAAACTGATTCGATGAGGTGGTGTATCTGTTGGAAGTGCCGTCAACGAAGGCACTTCCAACAGATAGACGATTTTACGAGGGGTATGGTGATCGGACTGAGAAGGGCGGGTTGGTCCTTACGTCAAAACGCTGCTGATACCCACATGGATGCGAGCACGGTGCATCGGCTATGGCAAACATGGTTGGAACAAGGAAATTTGGGAAGAAGGAGGGGTGCAGGTGCAGCCAGAGTGATGTCAGCATGCATGGATCAACGCATCCACCGACAAGCTGTGGTGGTCCTGCTAGTCACTTGTACCACGATTCTTCAGCATGTGCAAGATACCTTAGATGTTCCCGTGTCGACCAGAATCATTTTTCGTCGATTGGTTGAACGTGGTCTGCACTCACGGCGTCCATTAAGAAGACTGCCATTGACGCCACAGCATACAAGCCAACGTTTAGAATGGTGCCGGACTGGAGCGATGTGGATGACAGAATGGTGAAACATCATGTTTGGGGCACTATGACGGCCCAACGATACTTGGATAATTTACTGTGGCCGGTGGCAATCCCCTACCTTCAGGGGCTTATTGCAATTTTTCAGCAGGATAACACCCGACCACACAGTGCTCTCATCTGCCAACATGCTCTGCAAGGTATACAGATGCTTTCCTGGCCACCGTACTCTCCTGACCTGTCACCAATCAAACTTGTGTGGGGTGTGATTAGACACCGTTTACAGACTCTGCTCTGCCTCGTTCAGAAGATGAACTGTGGTAAATGGTTAAAAGGGAATGGAGAGCCATCCCTCAGGACACCATCCACACTCTTATTGACTCTATGCCTAGACGTGTTTCTTCGTGCATCGCTGTCTGCTGTGATCCTACATCTTACTGAGCTGACGCCGTACTCGCTCTGTATTCTGACTATCATTTTGAAATAAAGATCACTTATTGCTGCTTGCTGTCTCTGTCTTTTTTCCAAATTTCATCACTTTCTGACGACTCCTTCTTGGTGTTGCATTTTCAGTGTCGAGCAGTGTATTTTCCACGGTTTCCAGTTTGGCCATGTTTTTAGATCTTAGTTCTTCCCTGAGTGAGGACTGGAAATTTTGTTCAATTGCCTCATTTTTCAGCTTTTCACAGTCAAACATTTTTTTTTTTTTTTTTTTTTTTTCCCTCTCTCCCTGTATCTTTCGGGCATTTTAAATTTTAGAAATTAGTTTAGCAATAACCAAAAAGTGGTCAGAATCACAGGTGGTACCTCAACAAGTTAAATCCCTATTAAAGTAGCGAAATCTTTGGTAGGTTTTCATCCCATTTGCATTTCATCCCATTTATTTATTTCTCAGTTTCAGGGTCAACACCAATTGATATCAAGTCAACAGTAGGCATGCCACAGCTTCAGTTTTCCTCATCTCAGTCTGATTCTTTCATACAGAATATTGCAGAAGGTCACTTTAATGAGCCTCTTGTGAAGAATTTTGTACATTTAGTGCATGAGTATAGTCGCACGCATCATATAACAGTCCATCTGAATTTTCCAATAGATCATCCTGTGGAAGAAGTGGGATGGTAAGTTAAACTGCATTAGAAAGTTTTATTCACATTTTGAAATTAAATAATTTGTGTATTAAATAATTTTCTTCTTACAGAAGTATTTTCTATACACTGTAAAATTTTGATTTAACCACTTGTGCTACGACTAAACTTCATGGTTGCGGCGCCGTGCACTACAATATAACAAGCAGTAAAGAGTCTCATTTATACCACTCCGCGTCTGCGAGTGCAATCCAGAGCTGTAACTCGAGAAATAAACAATCTCGTTGTTACGCGACATGTGCACCACTTTATTTTCATTTTTGCGATAAATGCCTATCGACGTGGTGTTCACGTCTCTCGTGGTTTGAGACAAAAGCATCTCGACGTGCGTGGCACGTCTTTTTAGCGCAAGTGGTTAAAAAGCTTGCTTTAAGATTGAAGTAATATTTTTTTAAATTAAAATTTTGGCAACTACTTTGAGCTTTTTGGATGAGTAGAGTTCGTACATAGTTTGCAAGTGAACATAATTTTCAACTTTGGGCACTCTGCACAATGCACTAAAATGGTCAAGGAATCATTTTCTGAGAAAAGTTCTACTTATTTAAAATGTAAATTTGAAGATTTTTATTAAGTTCAAGGACTAAAATTTTGAATTGATGTTTAAAAGTAGTACTGGTCAGGATTTAAAAAGGTGTTTATTTGCAATTTATTTTCATATTTGTTGTCAACAGTCTTGAAATAAATGTAATTATTGAAATGTAGTATTGATGACAAAGGGACTGTATAAAATTTCATTGTAGAAATAGTATAATTAATTTTAATGACCCCCCCCCCCATATTTGCTTTTTTCGTTCACTGGCTTCCAAAAGATAATCATGAATGCAAATTAAGAATATTTGACAGCAGCTGAATTTGAGTGGCTAAAAATCTTTGCAGATACAGCTTGCAATATGCAGTTATCATATATTACAATAGGTGACAACTCACTATCCGAACATATGTTAATTAGCTGTATAGCCAATGCATTGTATTCTCTTGACATAAATGCACTCCAGAAGCATGTAGACTCAATGCCCAAAGGAATCAGAGCAGTTATCCATGCGAAAAGTGGTCCAATAAAATATTAATCTTGGGTTTCTAATTCATTGGCCATTGTGTGTATGAAAGATCCTGGAGTAAGCCAAAGGAACCTCCTTTAGTAAGATCACGATTGGAGCTGCTTGTCCAAAACACATGCTTTGTATATGATAAGACAACAAAGAAATTACATTCTATGAATTGTTGCTACCAAATCAGACAATAAATTCAGAAAAATACTGCTCCCAAATGGCAATTTTAAAACCATAAATTGATGCATTGACAAATCTCCATCATGATAATGCTCGGAACCATATTTTGATGAATGTAAAATAAAGACTTGTTGAATATGGCTGGGATATTTTATGTCATCCTCCTTATTCCTGAGACTTAACTCCCACAAATTTTCATCTCTTGAGGTCATTTCAGAGTTCTTGGAATAGCCTGGAGTTAATTTGTTTGGAGGCTGTCAAACAGCAGCTCGGTAGCTTCTTCGCAAATAAACCCAATGACATTTTTAAAAAACAAATTTTCAATGAAGATTTTCTTCTAGTAATTCTAATTCAATGAATTTTTTTTTTTACGTTTTTGTGTTTCATTTTTATTTATCATAATAAAATTGCAGAACTTTCCAGATGACCCAATATTTATTGAAAATCATGGACCAATAGCCATGTCTTATTCATTCATCTGGATTAATTTAATATTTTGCTAAAAATGAGTACTTTATCATATTTTTAGTTTTATTTAGTTCAAGAAAAAATTGGAAAAGGATGGAAAACAAGCTTAATTTTATGGTCTATGGGCAAAAGTTCCATGGCATACTTAGCATGTTAATAGATACTTTTACACACAAGTGTTTTTTCCCCTTTGTAGAAAGTGCTTGTTAATAAATGTATTGTATGCATTGAACTTTTCTTAAAGTTGTTAATTTTTTAGGTTATTAATTGCTTTATTATTAAAACATTTGGGTCTTGGAGAGCTCTGCATAGCTGCTGCTGAAGGAGTTTTTGCTCAGATGCCACCGACTATTGAGCATGTATTTAGAATTACTCACCAAGCTAAATGCTGCTTGATAAAGGTATTGTAAGATAAGTTTTGATGAATTTTTATGAACTTGTATGTTTCCTTATAAATATTGTTTATAACAATGATATAGTATAAATTTAAATTCTTGTACTAGCTAATAAAAAGTACCTTTCTGATGTAAAATTTTTGTGTTTATTTGCTTTCATTATTGATGAATTTGCAATATAATTGCAAAGTTTAACTTTGGAACTACCAACAATTTATGTACAGTTATTTTGCTTAGGGTGGAAACCAGTAGTTTTGATTGCCTAGAAGTTCTAGTGTTAACTTTTAGTTCTAGTGTTTCTAGTGGTTCTAGTGTTCTAGTGTTAACTTTTAGTTCACTAGTTTAGTGAAGTTCTAGTGTTTCGATTGCCTAGAAGTTCTAGTGCTAACTTAGAGATCAAAACATTCTACTGAACTTGTGGAAGGTTAGAATTTGGCCCCATGTAAAATATTTGAATTCAAATAAGCTGTTTAGTTTTTTTTTCTGGAAAATCTTGAATGCTTTCTAAAATAAGTAATTTTTTTGTTAATAAATTGGTACAATATTGTTAGAATTAAATAGACATATGGAGAATTTCTAATTGACCTAGATTTGAGTGAAGTTGTATACTTGCTATTCAACTTGTCATGAAAGAAATTTATGAAGAAAAAGGAACAGTTCAAATTTATGCTATCAGTGCCATGTGGCGCTGTAAAAAATGGTAGGTGTAAAAGAGGTGGTCAAAATTTTAAAACTAGTATAAAGTTAAGAATGTTATATTCTCAGTATGTGATCTTTTGTCATTTATTATTGCTTGAAATTATAAGACCATGTGTTTTCAACTGCATTACACAGCATGAAGGAAGAATTGTGTAGAAAATTTGTTACAATGCACTGGCATTCAGTTGTGTTAGGGATGACATGCTTTATTGATTAAACAGAATCTCTTGTGAAAATCCATAGTTGGAAGGAAGGTCATGAATATAGGACGCAATCATAAATTAATCTGGTATGAATAATTCTGTTCTCATGTAACCTTTAAAAATGAGCCAGTATTCCATTTTGCATTAAAATGAGAGTAACCAAACATTCACATTCTTGTAACACTGACCATATATCCTCTTTCAAAAGTCCACTCCCACACTCTTGTTACACTCCATATAACTGTAAACTTTAAAACACTTTGCCATATCACCTGGTTGAAGATAAATAGTGCAATACCTGAAACTTGTAGTGAAGCCACGCTTTGTTACAAGGCTGGTCCATACTGGCCATTACATAGGCTTAATGTTATATTTGTTGTTGAATTCCCGTAAGGATATATTTAACCCCATATATAGCAGCTGTGGATGTTGGTCTATATTCTAAAAGAAAATAAGTCTCATTTCTTCTTACATTTGATTTCCATTGCTAATCCAGTTCTCTTTGTGCAAAAAAACACAAAAGAAAATCAAGGTGTTGAAGTAGGTTTGAATGTTATACGGAAGATGAACAAGGATTAGATAGTTCCCATAACACTGCTTAAGCTCTTACTGAAGCAGTTGGAGCAGAGTTTCTTAAACTGTGGGTCACATTCCCCATGGAATAGTGGGACCTGCAGCAGGGGGTTGCCAAAAATTTTAGCAGTTTTGATATTTCTTTAACTTATAATAATTTTACAATTACCAAATATTTTTATAGAATGTATCTGAAAATAGATAAAGACAATACAGACAAAATAAAAAAAACAAAAACGTTTAGATGCATTCTTTTTATAATATAAACGTTCATTTTACTTTTATTCCACGTGGCACTGTCATTTCATCTGTTTCTTATTTAACATTTTCACATTGTTCTATGTCTTAAAATTAGAAATTAAAGTTAATGACCTAAAACTGCATATTGCAGTACAAGTGAAACAATTGACAGGTTCACTCACGTGTATGTCGGATTTGCGCACTGTTTATGGCACAAAATTTTCGTAAATATTATGCATCTTGGGGTCGTGAAAAAATCTCAGTGATAAAAAGGTGTCGCAACTGAAAAAAATTTAAGAAACCCTGAGTAAGAGCATCAGTAATGTTGTCAAGTACTACAGTAGCAGCTTCATTAATCATTCATTGTATTTATTCCAGTTTAAAACTGTAATAACTGACTAGTCTATCATTTGCAGCTGATTTCTAGTTTATGAATGTGTGTAGTACAGTACAAAGTCTGAGATCTGGATATCCAGTATCCGGAATGATCTAAAATCTGCACCTCAATGCCACCAACAACTTTTCTTGATTTTTTGTATGCTTTTCTTACGCATGTGCATTTGCTTCCCCCGCGTGCAATAAAACTTGTGGAGAAGCAGTAATAAATGAAGACGATATAAACAAAGTTTTTCATTTTGATGAAAATGCTCCTCAGTCATCAATCAGTTAATGGATGACAAAATCTGTAGTATGGTTCTAGATCCAGAAAATACCACTACCGATAGTCAAGAAAGTTACAGAGAGTTTATTAAAAATGAAAAGATTTTGATTGACAAGTTAGTCGGAATTATTGACACAGCAATTACAGGACTTCAGCAATGTAACTGAATAAAAAATTACGTCTTTGAAAGAAATGTCTAATAAAGTAAGCAAATATAGTCCAAAGGGGCTTTGTCCCCGAGGTATTATTCCCTGAGGTATATTGTTTTCGGCTTTGCGATTTTGTGTCGAATCACTCTGACTGCCCGTTTCACTTTTGAAACTGTTGCCACCAAATATCGTCCTGTATTATATTTGAAGAAATTAACTAACAAAGAATCTGCCTAAATGTATGTATGTTTTTCGATGTATGTATGTTGATAAAACAACGGTACCTAGAGCCATCAAATTTTGAATGACGTAACCCTGCGAATATGGCCATCTTGAAGCCCAAATTTGAAATTTGGAATTTGTTTTATTATCGATTTCATATTTTGTAAAACTTTAGCAAATTTTTTATTAAGAAACTCAAGGATTTCAAAGCGAGCAATGGCAACGTTGTACAGGAGAAACATATTTATAAACATAAACATATTTATATATATTACATAACATCCAGCTCGTGAGACTGTGTATCAGAAATTCTAAAGATATACTCAATTTAAAATTATTTTTCAATATTGCTCTTGAACTGAACTTTTTGTTTTAAGTGCAATGAATGTGAAATTTAATAAATAAAGGTAACCCACAAAATTTCACAGAAAGCTCCTTTGGACGTAATTTAAAATCTGAAACCTTTCAGATTTTCTTTTTCTTATTTCTTCTTCTTTTCTTTCTTTCTTTTTCTTTTTTCTTTCTTTTCTTTCTTTTTTCTTTTTTTTTTTTTTTTTTTTTTTTTTTTTTGTAATTTTGAAGCATTTATAATTTTGATTATAAATGCTTCATTATTTCATAAATTATAATTTCATATTTTTAATTTTATAATTTTTACATGCCATCTTACTAGATGTAAACTAATGATCTAATATCCGGAAAAATCTCAAACCCGGAATCGTGGAAGATCTGACGAGTCTGGATCTTGGGACTTTCTACTGTATTTAAAACTTAAACTTGCATTTCTGTCCTTTAAAAGGTTCATGTACAGTATAGCTTGCTGAAATTATTAGGTTGAATTATTAATGAAAATTATTTTGAATACAACAAAAAAATTAAGCAAACACAAATATAGTAGTATTAGTGTGTGAATCCAGAATTATAAAATCTATTATTTTTGGAGTGAGGCATATATTACCAATTTGGCTTCGCTATCTGGTTACATATGCTATAATGAGAAATAAAGTTTGTATAGTACATTTAATTTTTAAGTATATATGTTAGCTTTCAATTTTTATTGATCAAATGCATACTAATTCTAACTTTAACTGTTTTAAAAATTGGAAATCATATGCAATTTCAATATGTAAATTGTGAAATTTGTGTACAGGTTTATTAAAATATGAGTATTGCTGCTATTGCAGGTGAGGACAAAAGAACAGGCAGTACAAGTTTAATGCATAAGATACTTTTCAAATAAGTAAATTAAGTGCAAATTTTAATATTTCATGCTTTTTTACATGAAGTATTTCCCCCTTTTCCATTATTTTATCACCCTGAGTATGACTGATAAAAATTATATTGTATTGTAATTAATTTATATTTTATTTATTTTTAATTAATATACTTATTCTGTGGGCATTTTTGCTGAAATATTTATTATCTTTGTATTAAAAATATATTTCTGTCTTAAAGAAGTGCACAGGATTTTCATTAAAAAAATCATTTATGAGCTTTCATAGTGTAATTGTGTTGGGTCTTGTAAATGCATGACACTTAATCTGAAATAACATAAGTTTATGTGTTTAAATTTCAGGCACGTCAAGATATCAATAGCTCATACAAAGAAGTCTGTAGTCCTGTATTTGAAAGGTGTAGATTCTTGTTCTATGAAATACGTCCAGCTCGAAGTCCTGAAGTTGAGGCACTTACAAAATTAAGGTTTTATACAGCTGCTTCTAAATGGAAATATGCTGTTCATAAGTTAATTAAAAATCGACGAATGTCAAAAGGTAACATAGTTTATCTTCTGTAACCTATTTTCTCAGTGTTCTTTGGAATGGTGAGTAGTAATTTTCAGTATTTCATTTGATATATCTTTTTGCCCCCTTATTTTTTTCTAAAATATAGTGCCAAAAGGAAAAAGTGACTCCATTTTTAGTGAAAAAGATCAGGAATCAGGCAATAATAAATTTGGCTGTGCTGGTAATGCCTATTTACATGTGAGTATCATCAAATTTACCAAAAAGTGTAGTTTGTGTGTACTCTAATTTATAATTATATATATATATGACAGAGTCTATTAACATTATAATGTTTTACATGATAAGATAAATGTTTTTCCATCTTACTTGGTTCTTGCTTCTCCTCTGATTTCATATTTATTTGGATGACCTGCTCTTGCTTTTATGTATGTTTTCTTATACTTCTTATGTTCCTAACAGTTAAGTTTTTATGCTATCATATTCTTTTTGGTTGCCTTTCAATAATTTGTACCATTCAAAAGTTTACTTAGGTTTTGTATGTATTTTGAAAAGCATATTTTTGCTTTATATTTTATTTTACACGAGCAAAACATGTATTATATCATAGAGGAAGACTCATAACATTAACAACTTGCCACTGATTTAGAAACACTACTGTTGCTGCTTCGTTTTAAATTATATAAATAAAAATTATTCAACAGCTTTTTTATTTCCTTTATTAAACTGAAAATGGTAAATCAAGTTTATTCTATAGCTACTTGCTATACTTGCTTTGATAATTTATCCCTTCATAATCAACAAAAGTGTTTAATAAAATTAATAAATTTTATTAATTTTATTTAATAAAGTTTTTCATGTACTTAATAATTCTTAAATTTATTGACCATCAGATTATGCAATACCTTTGTAAATGCATGTTATATTATCAGAAGTTGCAAAAATAAATTTATCATTATTTCTTTGACTTTTCCTGGCAAAAAATACTTGACTTCAGTATGCTTATTTCTTCTATTAAAAATTCTGTTCTTAAATCATTTTAATTGAACTTTAATTATGAATACTTAACTTAGTTATAGCAGTTTTATTGGTTTTCTCTTCCAGAAGAGTTTTCAGTATAAAAGTTTGTTAACTCAGCCTGTTGCTACTCTATACTCAGCTTCTGTAGCTGACAAAGCAAGTAACTGTTGATTATTTCCCTGGGCATTAACCCACAGTACTTTCATCATGTAGAATCACATATCCAGTAGCACTTTTGCATGTTTCTCTATGACCTGTATAATCTGAGTCACAGAGAAATTTAACTTTTCCATTGAAGTTAAAACAGTTTTTCTAACATTTGTGATGAAGATCCAAAATTATAGTACTTTTCAGGTATCTAAGAGTTCTTTATTCATTATTAGTTTCTTGTGTAAAAGGTTTGATTTTCTGCATGTCTGTTTTCATGACTGAGCAAGTGGACCTGGATAAGTTATATTGGATAGCTATGAAATTTTATCGATAAGTAGAGAATATAAGGCAAATTAACTTTTCTATTTTCGTTAGATACTGTTCATCCTACTCCTAATAAAAGGACTTGTTTCTTTAAATTCATTCATTCCATATTTCTCTAGAACATCTTGGGAATTTTCTGCCTGTTTTAATGCTAATCCTTTTTTATTTCTTTCCAAAATTTACTTGAATATTCTTTCGATTTTACCCCATATTCATTTCATGTTTCTTCTGAAAATTTCTTTATTTTTCCTTTATCTTGTCCATCAAATAATCATCAACAAATATTGCAGCAATCATTGTGGAGTCATTTGTTTCAAATACACATCTATCATGTATTTCATTTGAATGAAAACTTTTTATATTAATTTTGTGAAACAGTCATTCCAACTGAAACAAACTTGTTTTAGTCTGTAAAGAGACTGATCTGTTTCCTTAATCAGAACCTTTTGAAAAAGTTCATAGATATACCTTCTTTTATGTCTCCATACAGAAAATTGCTTTTTATATCAAATTGTATCATCCCAAAGCTTAGCTGCTAGTGCAAATTAATGCTGAATACTAATAACAGGACTGTGTGTGTCTTCAAAATCAATTCCATCTTTTTGAAATACGCAGATATCTGTCATGTGCTTTATCTTATTCAAATAAATTAGCTCTCTAGTTGAAATTCTCGAGCAAAATGCTGTGCTTTTAACTGAAACCGAGCTTTGATATTAAACATCCTTTTACTGCTAAGTTTTTTAAAATTTTCTTTGCTTCACTTTTGCTGTAAATTGTTTCATGTTATTACTAATTAAAGATTTTTTCCCTCCTAAACATATATTTTATTATCTGATATTGCTTCCGAATACAACAATATCACAAAATCTCAAAACTCCGCTGGTAGGTTGTTTCTAATAGATCATTCTTCATTTTGAGCCTCATATTTTCGACTTCTGTTTCCATTCATATTATCAGCTTCTAAAGCATCCTTTTTCATTGTGGAAATACTTTTTTCCTGATTGTTTTCTAAAATTTATTCTGATTTCCTTCCCTTATGTATATTTATATTCTTCATTAAATTTTCATCAGTTGTAATATCTCTGGAATTTAAAAAAAATTTTATTTTTGCATTTCTATTCTATATTCTAATGGCATTTGTCCCTCATGCAGTAAAAATACACTTTTTAAATTGTGAATCAAGGTCTTTGTTTATTTCATTTTTCTGCTACCATTTGATAAATAAGCTGCAGTTTGACAAGCTTTTTTCTACATCTCTTTTTAATTTGGAATGTTTCTTCAAGTCCCTCCCCCCTATATGTTTGAATAATTCTTTCTGCTTTTCTATTTAATTATGGTGATAAAATAGTGTAATAAAATTTTCTCATTCGTTTCTATGCTAACTTTTTAAATTTGCACTAATTTTTCTCACTTCATTTTCATAATTTCTTACTTTTATTTGAATATTAATTTTGATACCTTCATGTTCCATTTAGCTTATGTTTCTATAATATAATCTTTTATTGCATTAAACGTCTCATATGTAACTTCTGTCAAATATACATGAAAACATGTACTTGTCAAGGAAAATAATGAAATATTTCTTTTCAACACCAGTATGAATTATTTTTGGAGTTGTACACTGAAGATCTAAAACATTATAGCCACCTACTCAATAATGCGTTGCGTGACCTTTGGCCTGGAAAACAGCTGCAGCTTACCTTGGTATGGATGCCACAAGTTCTTGAAGGTGACTGCAGACAGCTCTCTCAGGTCAATATACAGCAACTTAGGTAGCCAGGACATGATTCGAATTCATCCTTATACTCCTCGAACCACTCCAACACAGTTTGAGCCTTGTTGCATGGGTCATTGTCCTGCTGGAAGATCCCATTTCTAGTTGGAAAGACAGATGTCATGTAAGGGTGCAACTAATCTACAGTTATGTTCAATAGGCTTCAGCTTTCATGGTCTGTTCAACAACAAGTTAGGTTCCCAGAGCCACTCATGGGAATGTCCTGCAAAGCATAATACTGCGACCACCAGCTTGTGTACGACCTGCTGTACAGAGGGGGTAACTATTTACTTGGAAGATAGCGTGCCCTGACACGACCATTGATGTGATGGATGAGAAATCGTTATTCATACGACCAGGTGAGATCATCTTTCACATGTCCATGGTCCAATCTCAATGTTCTCGGACCTACTGTAGGCTACAGTGATGCTTGGTCAACAGAGGCACATGGGTAACACATGTGGTGTGCAGTCCCATATCCAACAGTGCCTGCTGAACTGTGTTTTCCATAACACTTGCACTTGTACCTGTATTGTGTTGGGCTGTCAGCTGAGCCACTGTCTGGGGCTGATTTTGCTGTACCAAGTGAGACATTCTTTTTCTTTGATGACACTTGGACGTCTAACATCTTGGCATCTTCTACTGGTTTTACTGTCATTTATCCACTTTGTATAAATACTAACAATGGCAGATTATAACAACCTACCAGTTGTGCAGTTTCGGAGATACTTGCTCTCAGTCTTCGGGCATTTACAATCTTCCTTCTGTCAAATTCTATTAAATCAGCAACTTTTCCCATCACTCATAAATGTAAGTGCAAGAATGATTCCTTACCTTCTACAGCAGCAATTAAATCCCATTCACAGTTAATCATATGCCCTCCACGTCATTGAGACAAGTTCATTGAAAAATATAGGAATGGTCAGAAAGGTTTGGCTTACCAGTGTACATGCTTTCATTCTTGCAGAATTAAAGGTAATTTTGTTTGTTTAGCTTGCTGTCAGTTTTCACAGTCAGTATCATCCTTTTGATAATCATTATCAATCTTCATATCATTAACGAATAAAACAAGTTTTCCATGGTTTTATAAGAAAGATGTCCTAGACTTCTTAAAGGTAGATAACTCTCCAGTTGCTTTACCTTAATCAATTAACCTAGACCTCTGTGCTATAATATAGTTTCATAAGCTTCCAATAAGCTAAAGCACTTGCAGTTTGAATTTCTAGTGAACATTTATATGAACCATTTTCAGCTGTATATCGTTCTAAAACCTTTTTACTTTCTTTTTTTTTTTCATACTTTATTAAAAAAATTAACCTGTCTAACCTTAATAATTATAGCACATGCTGATAATAATTTCTTAGATCTTTAGAATCTTTTAACTGTTCTTCATTATTAACCATGAGTGATAACAAACCTGAATCAACTATCCAACTGCCTTATGTGTATTAATATTTGTTTCACTAACAGCTAGAAATACTTTTTAATTATTAGCGTTAACTTGATTCTTATCTTCATGGCAGTCTTCATTCCGATTATTTTTCTTGCATGTTTTGCAAAACAGTTTGTTCAGAGGGATTTCTTTTCCACAAGAATTAGCGAAATGCCTTCTAAGGTTGTTCTAAACACTTCTAAGGTGATTTTATTTTATTGCAAAAATGAGCAAAATGGCCTGCATTTTTACAACTAAAACACTTACTTTCCCTTAGCATTAAATACAACTGATTTCATTTTTATATCACATACTTCAACTTTTTCAATTGGTCTAGCCATTAAATTTGTTACGATTTCATCACCAGCTGGTACTGATTGCCTAGCAGCAATGAAATATTTATATTTAACTGGTATCATTACCAAAATTTTAAAGATTAGCATTCTTTTCATTAATTTATTTTCTAAAAGGAATTTAATGTATTGCTAGGCTTTCTCTTTGTCTACTGTGGGAAGCTGTGTCCAATTTATATCTATTTATTGTTAAAAAGTCTTGCAACGAAGTATATTTTTGTTGTCGGAATCTCTTTTATAAATAGAACATAGTTTATCAAACGTTATGTTTTGAATTTGTATAATTCAATATCTGCAGTATTGGACCTTTAAGTGTAGAAGAAATATATTTTTGAACTTTGTCATCTTATTTAATCTATCGTAATTTTTATTTTCATATTTGATATTGCTTAAACTATCATTTCCTGTTATGCTATGCAAATCAGAGGGCTTAAGTAATGTTTTAAATTTCCATTCCTGGAATGAAGTAGTATCTGTAAATTCTGAGTATAACTAACCTCATTTTCATGTACAGTGATTTTACATACAGCATTTTTATCCAGATCAATTCTTCAGAAATGACTATTTTGTTAAGCTTTTTTGTGCTTTCACTGATCTTTCTTTTAAATCAAATGCTCTGCTTCTTTGTTGAGAATTTGTATATATGTGGAGGGAAGTGCAAATTTACTTCATATGTATTTCTTTTGTTCAAAAACATTACATAAAACAAAATACTTTCTAAACAATGGAGAAGGAACTAGAATATATACCACATCTGTCATTCAGAAATACTACTGTTCCAACTCACTTTTAAATAATTGCATAAATAAAAATTACCCTTCAGTTTATTTAAATCTCATTAATATAAAGATAAGGTTAAATACTATGGTTTCTGGATTACAAAATTTAAATCCTATCATTTTTAATGAATGTTGGCCAAAGTATTCACTGACATTAGGAGGTTGTTCCTTTGCTACTAATGGTTCATAGTTATGAGATCTTTTGTTAATGGGTAATAAAAAATGTAACCTTAATAGATAGAAGAGTTTCAGATATTTATTTGATTGATATTTTAGATTGTGAATCGTTAGAAGCTGTACTTCTGATGTATATTTATTCAAGCTAGCAAGACCACGTTTTGTGTTATACATAATTTTAAACATAATGACAAGTTGTGATTTATATAAACTTTTAGTATAGCCATTTAGTTTTGAGTTCTTCATTATGCGGGGGATAACTCATTTAGACACTTAAGTATCTAAGCTGTGCTGTTAGATTTTAATATTCGAGATGTAGAGAGTTTAAGTTAAAAACTATACATGAACTAGATAAAACATTAAACTAAATATTCTACACTGTCCTTTCTGTGTGCACAACAGAACATATCAGAACTTTGTGTACTTAATAAATGTTGATCATCCTTTCAGCCAAGTATTTGAAACCTTGGACCTTTTGAGAATAACCATATGAAAAGCTTACCAGATATTTACCAATATTGAATCATCAGTGCCAGCGAGAAAACAGTAGCTGTTCATAGGCAAGATATAGTGTGGCTGGCATAGACTGTTACGACTTGCATGGATTGGAAAAAAGATAATGGCTGCACAGATTATTGCTAGCCATAGTGACCAGGCCATACTATATTTCTTTGGTTGCCAGTATCCAAGGCTCTGCTACTTCCCCAGCATGTTCTTTGCCTTTCCTTATGATAAAATACTTGACTTCTACAAAGTGGGAACATTTTTTGGAACAGTTAGATTGTTTTTAAGTGGTGAGATCCAAAAGCTGCAAAGGAAATTCAGAAATGTGACTCTGTCCTGCCAAATTAATGATTTTTGCTCCATACTAGTACATGCAGTATTCTGTGGAATACATTAGGTAGTTAGTATATATAGAATATTTTGTGAATGCAATGAACTGCTACACTGTCCTTGCTGACATAATAGTGCATGCATTTTTCTTACAATTATTTATTCATCAGGCTGCAAGAAATTAGCAATTGGGCTATGTTATTCCAGATTTAAATCCCATAGAAACTGTCACATGTTGAAATGCATCCATGAAGCATAGTTGGGAATGCTACTGGCAGATTCCAGCATTTAATGAAGTAGACAATAGGATATGTTGTACAAGCTAAAGAGTAATTAATGTTTTGTCTAATGAATATATTTAACACCTAATCTAAAGAATATATTAACATAAAAGAGGAATTTTGAAGCATTGTGTAAAACTGAAAGTATCAGCCCTTTTGATATCTTTTTATATTTCTTATTGCATGAGTATAAAATATGAAAGCTTTTTTTTTTTTTTTTTTTTTTTTTTTTTTTTTTTTTTTTAGTCAAATGTATCTTCCTGCGGTTCTGAATTAGAGATGCTTGCTAATGATATCATTACTTTTGTACTTGATGATGATGTAGATGTGGAAAGTTTAAGAAAAGCTGTGTACTGTCAGGTAATTAAGTGCACACAATTTTCTTTTAGTAATTAAAAAACCATATGGATATAGTTATTTATATAGTGTTATTTATTTGTTGTAGGTGAAACGAGCTAAAGTGCGTCGCAAGGGATTTGAATCTTTGCTGAGTTTAGTTAAAAAAGATTTCTTGATACCATCTGTAAAATACTCTTTATTGAGTGGCTGGTTAGATCTCATTGAAGTAGGACAATCTAAAAAGTGAGTTTCCTTTTCATTTCCTCAAAATGCATGCATACATTGAAATTTAATCTTCAGCTTGTATGGTATGGGTTTCTAGACGTAAACGTCACTTAAAAAAGGGAAAGGAAAAAGAACCTGTTGGTTGTTATATGACTTTTTATGCCTTCTTATGGATGGATGATTTCCTTGTAACTCAGTTTTGTATTTGAAAACTGTTTACGAAAAAATGTGTAATATTATTTATTGTCTCCTAGGGCCCAACCATACCAGTTATACGCAAAATTTTCACCATACTTGTTAAACGTCAGTTTCTCTGTGTCAAACAAGCTATTGCTGATGTTTAAAAATTTTTCTCAACTATTTTTAGAGTCTGTGTTTGATTAGAAAATATGTTCTAAACGTTTTTACTGTAACACAGAAAAAGTAAAAACAGAATCGCAATAACTATCATTTTGGTTGCCAGTTAATATTTACTTTCTTCTGCATTTTGTTCCTATCATTTTTCAATCCATTTTCATTATGAACTTGCATAGCAGTCATGAATCTTGATAGTTTAAATTTTCAAAGCATTGAGAAAAAATTAATTGTGCAGACTTTCTAAGACTTCTAAGACTTTCTATAGAAAATAATGATAAGTAACAAAGTGTATCTGTTCTTTCTTTTGGAAAGAGAAACATTAAGAAAATTAAAATTGGGTTCTGTGTTTTATTTTATGTATGAGGACATATATTCACGATGAAATTGTAATACTGAATAGTTATTGAATTCACATTAATTTTTCCTGTGCATTTTACATGGTAAACACTTCCAGTTGTATTGCTAGTATCAGAGGCTTTATTCATTCAAGCTATCATAATTAAAATATAAATTTTCTTAAATTATATTATGATGTCAGGTTTTTATATAAACTGTCTTCTGTATCTCAAGAAAGATATTCAATTCTTCTTGAGGAAGTAAATTCTTCAGTCATTAAGATTATATTTCTCAATCACATACCTCTTAGTGATACTAATAATGAAGGAACTATGATGTTCATTGTTTTGTCGTGAATGTCACTATTATTTTTGAACTAACAGAAATAAAATAATTAAGTTGAAGTGTGGTTCATGGTTCAGTAGGTCTTGAGCTCAGTTTCTTAAACATATTTCAAGTTTCTTTCTTAAAAAGGAAGAAAATACAAAATGTCTGAAATATGTGTTGTTGTTTTTCATACCCGTGACCAGCAGAGCTAGATCGGCTCGTTGAGCTCATTCACACTGAAAGAGTGCTGTATGAAAAGGGGTTCTTGAACCAAATCCTGCCTGGTAAGCCCCAGAGTAAATAAGATGTGGTCAGGAGCGGCCTGTGCGAAAGAACACTTAGTGCATATTTTTTCTTTTTTTCTTTTTTTTTTTTTTTTTTTCTGGTAAGTGCAGTTTGATCTTGTCTATTGCCACTCTTAACCAAGGAGCCACCAGGGCACTTACTCTGATACCATGGGTGCACTGGTGGGACATCCAAACGGCCTTATTCTTTGCCTTACATTTGGAAAATAGCTCCATATAAGTACTAAAATATGATTTGCATAAAACTGCATAATGTGCAAAGTTATATGTTTATGACTAGTATATTTTTTTAGTTCAATTGTGCATTTTAAAATATTTCTTTAAGTTTTACTCAGTTTTCATATTTATTTTTCATACTTGAAATATTTCATATTTTACAGTAACCTTCCTCACTGCCTTGAAAATATATCCATTATTCCCCCATATGATCGAGTTATGGTAGAGATGCAATATACATCTTTCATATCATGGACAGTTGGAGAATTACAAGCAAATATTGTGCAGATGGATACCTTAAATTCCAAGCTTGCCATCCGTTGTCAAGAATTAAGTGTATCTAAACAGAAGCATTTCCTTTCACTTCATTGTAAAGATAATGATTTCAAGCACACAGAACGCATAGAATTACTTCCAATAGCACGTTTCATAGTAGTTTACATCGGGCTACTCTTTGGAGATCATCATGTTCAAGAAGTTGGTCTCATATGTACATCTGGAGTTCTTGCACTTATGCAGACTGTTTTGCGCATATTAGGTAAGAATTAAACAAGCTACTAAGTGTATCTCTTAACTCATTGTGTATCTTTTTAAATTATCGTGCCTTCTAGTGTATAATGACCTGTTAATTTCACATTAGATATTTACTAAGTTTACCACTACTTTGTCATGTGGAATGTTCAGAGTCTAGTCACATTGTTATGGCTATTACCTCTAACATCTAATGACAGGGATCAAGGTAGCCACGCTACCTGAAAAACCGGGAAATGTCAGAGAATTTAAATATTTTAGTAAAATCTGGGAATGCCGGAGAATTTCATACGGCAATCCCCCCACAAATCTATTTTTATGCCAACATTGGAAGTAATCACTTTCTTGGCGAATTACGTATTGCATGAGCATCATTTGAGCAGTTGGCATAGAGCCAAGTTTCGCAGCTCCAGTCAGATTGCCTTTTAAAAAGGAGCAAAGGAAGCTTCCAGCAAATTTAGTTTCCAGTAACCTCGAGAATTGAGAGATTCACATGTTCATGTAGAGTGACTGTTGAATGAAAGAAAATACCTTCCCATTCTTGTATAAAACAAAATTGGTTCAATCCTAGTATAAGGTATACATGGGATTTAGCGACAGTATGATGAGATGTAAAGGAGTCATTTTGGTGTTGGCGACAATTTTCAAAATTGTGCCGTGCTCGTACCATATACTAGGATTTTACCACAAAATCTTTTATACATTTTTCTTTTTAATAAATGCCTTATTTGTCATTTTGCAGTAAAATAAAAAAATAGTAATCCATCATCTTGATTAACCATTTAATATAATTATATTCACCAAAATATCATTGATTATTGTAATTCAGTTTTTAATCTTTAAGTACTTTATTTTAATGTTATTCATATCATTAAATGTGGTTTTCTTCCTTCTAAATTTATTTATTACTTGTTAATACTACTGTAATGACCTTATGGATTAATAAGGCACCATAAGGAAAACGACACCAACATTTATTAAAAATTAACTTTCAAAGAATAATGAAAAAAAAATTAACATTTAAAGAATAAAGGCAAACTCGGAGCACTACCTCGCTCCTACAACATAATTAACCTACCACCGGCCTCCTCTGAGGCTAATATGCAAGTGTCCTCTCTCTCACTTGCTGGGCTCTGCCAGGCAGCTGATTGGCTCACTGCTGCCAGATACATTACAAATACTTTCAAATTTCAGGCAATTTTTCTCTAGTATACTCCTGAAACTAATTATAGCAGTGTGATAACATATCGTCATGAAGTTTAATGCACATATTTTTTGCTTATGTCTGCTGCTAAATAAATTATTTAAAAATATCATTAAACAGATTTCTTTCTTTTGTTTAGCTGCAAAATATCTGCAAAAAAAGATTTCAATTTGGAATATAACTCCTATTATAGTTATAATAGTAATGCTTTGCGGATATGTCATAGGTAATTGGTAAAATTTTGTGTTTTCAAGTGGTACCATAATTAATTTACCTCTCAGCACAGGCAACGTGCACTACGTGGGTAGATTGGAATTTTCTTTAAACACACCTGGAAAAGTTGGAGAATTTCATTCTCCTGTTTGAGTGGCAACCCTGAGGGATACACACACTTCATGGATATCTAAGGTGGGATGTCAGTTAAGTTGTCAATATAGTCATTGGGGCTGCCATAGGGAAAAACTAAATTTATCAGTCATTTTAAAAAATGACTGTCAGCAAGTGGGCTGAGGGCAACAACATATTTGAAACTGTTCATGGTCTGCAGTTAACAAAAATATACCATGCAGTGTTCCCAATCACCTGGAAGGTCAGGTAGTAACTGAAAATATAAATGTTTTTCAAAAGTTTGAAAACATTTTACAAAAAGTCAGGAAGTTAAAAAAAAAACTTCAGATCATTCCTCTCAAATAATGAAAAGTTCGTATTTAATCTATAAACAAAAATTGCTTATTTGGGAAACAAATGAAGAGCTATTCTAAACTTTTTTCTTGCACATATGTTTCACTCAGGGTGGTATCTCAAATAGTTTTATTAACCTGTATCTTTCTTCTGCACCTGATTGTGAGCTGTTATTCATTTTTCATGTAAATTTTCAATCCTCCTCCTTTCAAAAGTGGAATTCCCTTAAAAAATGAATATTGCATAGTAAAAGAAACATATGTGTAGCTCTGTATAAATATATTAATTGAACCCTTTTTTTTTAAATCAAGTGTAACTCTCAGTAATTTTATTTTGAATTAGTATAGTATTAATAATTGTTATGAATTTTCTATTATCATAAATTTCTTTTGCCAAAAACAGCATTTTTTCCCCTGTGGAATTTGAGACTTTAGAAATTTCTTCTACTTTTTTTGAATTGTTTACATGTGTGTTTATATATATGTATTTCATTTGCTTCACAGTAATGTGGAAGATGAATTACGTTTGTACAAATTCTTATTTATTTTATTGTATTTTGTGTTAAATTGGTCAGATTATTCAGTTGCTGATGCTTAATTTGATGTCTACTTTGTAATGCCCAATTACTGAAATTTTTTCTTTCGGCCATGGAAAATCTACGAAACATTTAGGAAATTTCAAAGTTCAATTTGCGAGTCAAAGTTCAGTGGGAACTAAGCTGTGAGTGGACGAATGGAACCTTTTTAACAAGCAATATGACCTCTAGATATAACAGGCATGCAGTAGGCTGATCAGTATGCTTGCATTTAGTTGTTTAGGTACTTATTTATTTGCATAATGACCATCAGAGTTGGTATTCATGATCATAAAAGCTGGCAGAGATCTTGCCAAACTTGTGAATCAATGTGACAATCATTATGACAGAATTTTGAAGGAAGAGATGGCTCTTTATTTAATTAGATAATGGCAGATCACTCTTTATTTAGGTACACAAGAACTTGTTCAAGAAACGAAAATAAAAGTAAAAATTTAGATCAAGATTCCAAAGACTGCAAACTGATTCATTTTCTCTTGTTTTGGATATCTGGAATGATTTTATAGAAAATGCTTGAACTGTTATAAACTGATGAAAATATAACAGTGGATGAACAATTATTTCTCATGAAGACCTGATTTATTTAGTGTATGCTTAAAAAGCCGGAAAATTTTAGCACTAAATTTTGGCTTGATACTAAACAAAAAAGGAAAGTAAAAATTTAGATCAGGATTCCAAAGACTGCAAACAGATTCATTTGCCCTTCTTTTTTATATCTGGAATGCTTCTATAGAAAACTGCTTGAAACATTATAAACTGATGAAAATATAAACAGTGGATGAACATTTATTTCTCATGAAGACTCGATTTATTTAATATATGCCTAAAAAGGCCGGAAAATTTTAGCACTAAATTTTGGTTTGATACTGACGTGCAGTCAAAATATTTACTGAATGCATTTCCCTATTTGAGGAAAGACAAAAGAAGGCCAGCTGGAGAAATAGTAGGTGAGCATGCGGCTTTTTGCTGGATGGAACCGCTGAAATTCGTACCAGAAATGAGGAATTCAGTGATAACCTGCATTGGCACAATAAATCATTCAAAAAGAGAAGTACCTTATTCTTTAAAAAATACAAGGGATGAGCTGTATTCTAGTAAGTATTGTGTACGTGCCTCAACCTTTCCCGTAAGTGCCAAATAAATGTATCTTGAAGCAAAAAAACTTTGAATACATGTGAATACTCTAAAAAATATGTTTGTGGAACCAGTAGAGATATAATTAAAAAAATTATTAATCTGTATGCACTGCAAAACCGAGTAATATAAGAACTAATATGTGTAATTTTTAATATATTTATTTCATATTGAAAATTTTTGAGGCAGTTTATTAAATGATAAGTTTAAAAATATCTAGAGTGATTTTTTTTCTCTTTTAGCCCTTTATTATATTAAATTATCCTTCGAATAATAATATATTTACCCACTTTGCTTTATTTTGCTCTTTGTTACGTTAAATTATTGTTTGGTTGCATGTATTTACTCCGTTTACTTTAGTTACTTATTAAACAAGCACAATGTATTGTTATAAGCATTAACTTTACACAGCATTAGGAAGCCTTTTCTTCTATTTGGAACAAGCGGTCAAAATGACCACTGATCATAGTTATAGGTATACTGAAAACGCTATAATGCTAGTGTTAAATATGATTCTAAGTGATAATGAATTATGTGAATCTGAGTTTGATGGTGTTTTTTATCCACTTTGCTTCTATGTGCCATTTTGCCAAGCCCCATTCTTTCAGTGTAACAAGCATGAATCATTTAAGTGTAACAAGTATGAATCATTTCAGTGTAACAGTTCTTTTAATTCAACACACCCATCTGCCTTACAATTGATTTTATGAGGGTCTACTGATAGAAAAACGAGTTCCCTCAATTTTAGTAAATGTGCTTAATTCATGTCAGATTCCACAAGTATCTTTCTTAAAATCCACTTTAACTTTTTAAAATCTACTTGTTGACATATTTTAAGTGGTTTCATAAAAAATTACATTTGCCACAAAAAGATGTAGCCTCATTGATTTCTTCTTAATTTACAAATGCTTACTTTTTCTTGATATTCAGTAATAAAAAATATTTGACCTCTTCTGCATTCTAAACTGATGAGAATGTTAATGGCTGTTGGCTGGAAAGCTGAAGTCTGTGTAGGGAAGAGTAAAAAATGTAACTAAAAAAACATTCTAATGGCAAGAGGGCTGTCTTTCAGACCTAGTTTTTATATTATGCTAGTAGAAATGTTTAAATGACACTGCAGATGAATGCATGCCCTTTTATACTTTTTTTTACCTTGGCTGTATTGCCTTAAGGAAAAATTTGAATTCATTTAATCAATGACATTATTTCCAGTCTAGTTCTGTCTAATGCTGTCAGAAGTCTTAATAGCTTAGTCTTTTGCATTTTATTAATAGTATTTCCCTTGAAGGTTGATACTATGTTCCTTTTCACTTTGCTCCGTCCATTGCTTCGATATAAAATGGTTATTGTTCTCCCATCTTCTGAAGAAGAGGGACCTGTGTCTGAACTCATTCGAAATCTATAGAGTTTTATTCACAGTAATGCTAAACTAAAGTTGCACTTTTGTCTTAATATTAAAAATTCTAGCCTCAGTACTGTCTGCCTGTGTCATTAATATAGTATAAAATAATTGAAGAATATATGGGATTCAAGTTTTTAAAAAATTTTCATTTTTTTGTTATTTTTCAATTAAATGCCAGTTTATTTAGTTCAATAATTTTAACATTTTAGGCTTTTTAAGTCATTTTAGGCATTAGTCATCAGAGTAATGAATAAAATTTGTTTTTACCAGTAATTGCAACAACTAGCAGTTAGCTTAATATTACCTATTTGTTATGTTGAAAATAATTTTAAGATAAGTATATACTTTTTTAAGGTCTTTCTCGAAATGGTACTCATGACAACCAATCTGAATCACTGTATGCTGTATTGGAGGAAAATTATAAAAAATATAAAATACAAACACCTTTAAGTGGTCTAGAATTGGCAGCTGTTATGAAAATTGGAACTAGAGTAGTGAAAGGTGTGGACTGGAAATGGGGACACCAGGTATTAAGTATTCTTTTGTCATACATTTTTGAAGTTGTCATAATTTATGAAAATATAAAAATGTCTCTGTTAATTTCTTGCATCTTTTAATTAATAATTATTAAGAATTCAACTTATATACTCTTCAAGAGATATATAGGATTTTAATCTAGAATTAAGTCGACTACTTCCAGTGACGCACTAGATCTGTATGTCTGAATATGGGGAATTTTAACTACTTGACTTTATTAGTGTATCTTATTGCTGTTTTAATGTATTTCTTAGTAATCTGAGAAAAACTACTTCCATTTAAAGAATATCTTATGTGTCTGAAGTCAAACTATCTACTGTGTCAATTTTTGTAAAAAAATATTCCATACTGTGTGAGGCCGAGATTTAATGTGATGAACTAACACTCCATAACACATTTTATGGAACTAAACAGTGTTACCTATGGTCCGAGTTAAACTTATTTGAAGAAATTGTGATGTTAATATCAAATACATTTTGTATGCTGTTATGGATGGAATGGTATTTAATCTGTAGTATATACATAAGGAAAAAATTAGTTTTCTTTGCTCATTAACAGAGGGTTTTTCCCTCTCTAACAATCTTTTTAGAGGATTTCAAGTTTACTTGTTGAATATTTGATTATGTAGTTTTTAATTATATTTGGTATTTTTAAACTAATGATTTGTAATCAATCCTCGACTTTATAAAAAGGATCTTTTTTAAATACCTCTGAGAAAATGAATCAGAATTACAGTTTAAAAAATTAAAATAAGAACTATAACTAAGATTATAATATTAAATATGTTGTTTTTAAATGCTTAAGGTGTTTTTTACAGATCTTTGAAAAATGATGCATAAGATATCTTATGCATTTCATCACTATGATTGTAGAAGCTGCTAAACTGATTTGCAGAAACTTTTGTTGTCCTAAGGTATTGGAATGAACCTATGTTTGCATTTTCATTTTCATTGTTCATTAATTGAGAGTTTGATATCTGTCCAAGTAGACAAAGTTCATTAAAGAAAAACATGATGAAAGAAGTCTTGTATTTCTGTATGTTTCAAAATGTTATAAATGCTACAGGCAATTTTCGGAAACAACCATAATCAAAGAGAAACCTTAGCAAACTCTCAGAATTTGGTCTTGGTTTTTGGAAAAAAGTTAGCTTTTCTTCAAAATTCAAAAACAGTATTACCATTAGCTTGGTATCTAGCCTTTTAACTGTGGCATGCTCTTCTTCTCATTGTTGCTCTTCAAAATGCATTAGGTCATCATTAAGTAATTTGTTTCCATGTGACTCTAGCACAGTGATGGTGAAACTTTTGGGACCTCGTGCCCAAAATTCAACCAAAACCCACTTATCTATAGCAAAGTGCCAACACTTCATTTAAACTGGAAAATCGGTGTTTGGCTTAGCAAAACAACACACACTTGTCTTAAGATTTAAAGAGAAAAAACAAGACAGTTTTCAATGATACAAAAAACCTTTATTACAAGAAATAGAGTAGTTTTTCATAATTACTGAGGTTTTTGCTGTTGTATACATACTGATAATTCGTCAAACCTTGCTTTATACTTTGTTAATTTGAGTGCAACCCTTGGGTTATCTGTCAGTCTGTTTCTTGTGTCACATTTGATATAATTCAAAGCTGAAAACAGCTCTTCAATTGCATAAGATGATCCAAACATCTGAGCGATGCATTATGGCATCTCAGTGATGCGTTCTTTAGTTTTGTCTCTATTTGGAAAATCGTGAAAAAGCGAATTACTCCCAGACAACATGACCTCTTTGATTAAATTTCCATTGAGAGCAGTTTACCATGTTTTACCTGGCAAAGTGAAATTTGAAAACTGGCTGTTGTTAGATGGGAAAGATAATTGCAAAAACCAACTTTCTGGTAATTATAATTCCTCAGTTTCTCTTCAATAAACACTTTCCATTCAGGTTCATCAAGTTCGATAACAGTCTTGTGACTGGTGTTAAAGTGCTGTCTGACACTAGATGTGCGACACACAACACTTCACAAAATTTTAAAAATTAAGCATTAAATATAAATCAATCATATACTGAAAAGAGGTAGCATTATTAACCAATAGTAAGGAACTGGATTTTCACGAATCAACAGTCTATGGCTGCAAATTCAAATATGAACGGGGGACAGCAGTAACCATTAACCCGGATATATCAGTTTGCTAAACTTCTAACTTTAGATTTCATATGCTGCTTATCGGCTTTAATGGGCTTATTTTGGCTGAGCGCATGTGAATAAACTTAGTTTCCTTACTAAGCTTTCGTGTTTTGCTATGTTATCAAATTGCATGTTTTTACATCATATTTGTACATTCCGTTTAAGATATTAAATCAGAATTATTCACGAGTTAACTCAAAATGCTTGATATGAAAACTGGAATCTATTTAACAATAAAAGTATTAAAACTCAAATGGCAGTCTGCAATAAATTTCACCGCTTGCCTGATTATCCCGAGTTATCTCGGGTTCGTATATATTGCAGTTAATTATTATCCCGGGAAAACTCGGGCAAAGCAGAATTTGTTAGTACAATTGGTTTTATTACGGTTTTACTCGACCTGGAGGAAATGAAAGGAAATATTCTGCTCTGATTGGCAGATTGCCAAATTTTGTTGGTTGCGTGATTCCTTTGGAGGGACAGATCATATGTTTCCCTATTGTATACTATATGTCGGCTTGTGGATTAGTAATGTATAAAGATGGATACATGCATTGAAAAAAATAAAATAATGGCAATGATGCAAGATAGCAAAAGTGATAATTTTTCAGATAGTGATTATGAAGAGGTGGAAAAAATTTAAAAAAAAAAAAAAAAAATCAAATCTAACAAGACAGTGCACTGTGCTCCAGTGAAAGAGATTACAACGGTAAACCAGTAAGAAAGGAGACCAAATACCGGTGTAGAATGTCAGGTATCACTTTGTGTTATCCCTTGTTTCAAAAACTATATACAAAGATTATTTAACTTTTTTTTTTCGTTGCCCGAGATAACGCGGATCGTAAACTAATATTAAAAATAAATGTTGTAACCTTCAAAAAATTAAAAATTCACTTAAAACCTACATATTTTGATTTGTTTCGTTTTGTTGTATTTAACAATAAAATAAAAAAATGTGATGATTTTTTGCATTTTTTTTTCAAAAAAATTTGTAAGGGAAGCAGTTAAATTCATTTAGCAAACATTATCTGCTTCAATTTTGGTGTATTCTTTGCCACGTAACAAGTAATATGATTGGCCCAAACAATTGAAATATCATAAATTGGGTCAATAAATATGTGTGTAATTTCTATGGTGATATATGAAAATCTTATTATCTAGGCTTAGGCCCTATGCCAGTGACATGCGATAAGCAAGTAAGGGAAACATTCAAGAACAGACTAAAACACTTGTTTAAATTACATAGTATCACTTTATTATGATTATTGATTAAAGAAGTAATATTTTAGTCACATGCCAGCTGATCAGGCTCTGCGTGCTGACTGTGCCACACATGCCATAGCTTCGCCATCACTGTTCTAGCAGTTCTTCAAAATCCTCCTCTTGTAGGTTTAGAATACATTGCCTACTAATGTTCACAAGGACTTTCTGTTTTTGATCATATTTTTTAATAACAGTCACGAACAAGATAGGAGCATATACTTTTCTAAAAACCATTCATGTTGACATCTGTTATGTCTCGCATATGTCATGGATGTTCTGTACATGTTTCTAAATATTGCAGTCTTTCCATAAGTACGACCAAGTGATATCAGGTTTTTCATCAATGTATTTAAGTTTATAGGAGTATAATCATCATGCGTAATATTTTTTTCAATATGCACTTGCACCTTGATTCACTGGCTGTAAGATTTATGTTGTATTAGATACAAAAAGCACAGCTTTAAGATTTGGATAGAAATCATCTAAATATGAGGTGTGACACCCCCCCCCCAAAAAAAAAAAGAGGCTGTGTAGCTTGAAAAAAGAGTAAAGTTGGCAACAACTGTTTTGGTGACGTCACCCCAGACATCTCCTGTGTCCATGCGGTCAGTTTCGACTTAACCGATCACACAAGTTTGGAGTACTGCATCATTGAGTGAACATGTGCAACCGCATTCTGCAGGAAAAATGTCTAATGTATAAACTGAACAGCGAATCAACATGAAGTTTCTTATGAAACTTATAAATCAGCCACGGAAACATTTCAGATATTAACTGAGGCTTATGGAGATGAAACTTTGTCTCCTGCCCATGTGTTTGAATGGCATAAGCAGTTTTCAGGGGGGGAAGGGACAAATCACACTTGTCAAATCAAAATTCAATGCAATGTTAATTGTTTCTTCAACATAATGGATTGTAATGATTGAGTGGATCCCATGGTCGACTGTTCTCAACACGATACATGAGGTACTAAACCTACTACATTAAGGCGCCACCAGCCGGTCCGGCGGTAAAGCGCTGAACACTGTAGTTCGGTCCGAGGTTCGAATCCAAAAGGGCGGCTGCATGTGTGTTTTCGTGGTCTTCCCCATGTGTAACATGTATACGAGGCAGTTTCCCGTAGAAAGTCCTCCACGAAGGCATCCCTCCCCTTAGGCAAATAGCCCTAGTGTGCTTTGCCATAATTAAATACACCTCACTACTACTACATTGAGGTACTAAACACTACTACATTGGTGTAACTTAGCATGGAAATGGGGGGGAACAGAAAACAGTGTACAGAAAACTATAGTTCTGAAATCAGATTCATTGGGGATATAAGAAAATCTTTTTCTGTTCTTTTGCCACCCCATGCTGAGTGATGTCATCTGTTTAAACAAAAAAATTACTTCTTTTTACTATTATGTGTATCACACTTTCAGTTTGTTCTACGGAGTCTTTGGTAACTAATAAACTGAGTTATTTGTGATGAGTTTTTATTGAAGGAATTCAGTTGTGAGTTCATATTAAACCTGAAACCTGCATGTGAAAATTTTCCTATTTATTTATTAGAGTAA